CTTAAAAACGGACCCTTCACAAAAGGATTTTTCTTTTAATCGGACCCTTCACAAATTTGTTTATCTTCATTATTATTTTGTTAATCGAATAAACCCTTTCCAGGGCAGAAAACAAGAAAGATGGATGTAAACGAATTAAGTTTTGTCTTCGGCAGACGATTCTTCCATTATTCGTCCGAAATGAATATTCTGCGTCCAGCACTATAGGCTAAATACCAAATATTTGCATGTTGCATCTCTAATTTAGAAGCAGCAATTGTTGTTTATTTTTGAAAATTTAATTTTTTTTAATTATAATTTTACAGTGTTGAGCATAATCTTGTATGTCTTTACAATTTAAAAACTTCTTGAAAAAGTAGTTTTTTTTTTGCAATAACGGACCCTATTTGCACAAATTCATAAAAGCGGAAAGAATGTGAGTAATTTTTTCACAATTTCACGAAAAACGGACCTTTTACAAAATGTCTGGACAGATCCCTGATTATATACACATAATAATTACATATGTTAATAAATATAAGATATTTTTTCTTTAAATTATTAAAGGAAAACAATATGTAATATAATATGAAAAGTTTAATAACTCTTGAAGCTGCTCAATTCACCTAATAACAAAGGTGAATACCTTATCCTTTAAATATGCCTTTAATACTGATAAATTATGTATTTACATAAAGATAAATAGTGCAATATTAAAAATAATAATAAACTTTTTTAATAAAACAAATATCTTTATTCTGATTCTTGTTCAAAAATTAACCATCTATTTTTCAAATCGTGACATAACAAAAGGGTCTTGGAGAATTTGAACAAAAGGGTTTTGGACAGGACGGTTTAAACTGTGGATTAATCCATTCTGTCCTAAACCTTTACAACTCTAGTCGGTACATATATATTTATCTACTTATGCATTAAATAGATACATAAGTACATGCATTCTAGTTATATTCATTCGTACATAAGCTGTATGTAAATACAAAACGTAGAATTTTAAGGTACATTATACTATCTACTGTAAAATATAATCATATATAAATATGCATAAGCTATGTAATCATATATTTACATTACATGTAATCATAATTACATGCAATCTTATATATTTTTATTACTTGCAATCACAATTGATTACAGTAATTGGTTATGTAATCATGATTACAGTTGTAATCAAAATTCGTGATCATGATTACAAGTAATTGATAACTGTAAGAAGTGAAAAATACTCTACTCTGATGTAATCAAAAATTATGATACTTGTAATCACGATTACCTGTAATCGTGATTACAAGTAATTGATTACATAGCAGTAATTATCTGTAATCAATTACAGTTGTAATCGACGGTCAACTCTGCTGCAGGTTATGATATGGAAATCTTTCCTATAGACTACATAGAATGTAAGAGAAAAATACCTTTGGAACCTCCAGTCAAACGAAATGCCATCATAGAGCGGATGACACCAAAAATCTCCACTGTAAGCAGCGTATGAACTTTTCCCGTATTAGGATCCGGCCTTAATAGTTCTAATATTTTCCCCCTAGATACAGCAATCTCTTGCTGCTTGGTACCAGCAAAATTTCCATGTACAGCATGCGTTACGCCGGTAGCTCGTTGTAAAGTTAAATTGTAGAGAAACATGTTTATTTCGGGATCTTCAAAATATCTTCATTCCACTGAACCTAGTATTTAGCTAAAATTATGCTAAATTGGAGGAAAAAAAACACAAAAATAAGAATTCAGTATTTAAAAAAACTTTAGTATGAACAAAAACAAGCTTGGACACCATTCACAGTTGTTTTCAAAATTGATGAAATTGATGTAAATTACGGTTCTAGTTATGAGTAATTGATTAAATAAGTTAGTCTGAGATGGCAACAGTCATAATACTCGAGTTGTAAAGATTATAAGCGTTTAAATGCAGTCAACTTATAAATCTCTTTCGTCACAATTTTAACTGCAACGCTGCTACTACAACTATAACTTTGTTGTCCTGTCAGTCGTTTTTCTAAACAGAAACTTGTGCACTTTTTATTTCATATGTATATTTTTCCTTGATAATTTCTAATTAATTGATAGAGTGAGTGCTTTAATATTTGAAAGTTTCATCCATACGTAGAATATTCTGTTTGAATTCATTTCAAATTATGTTTACAATTGAAATTAGAATAGCTCGGTATTTGTTATTAAACTGCAAAATAAATAGATTGTCATTGATTAAAAAACTTTTCAACTTAAACTAGTATTTTTTCTTATTATATAATACAACTTTAAAAACTTTCCTTTCATAAATTCTTTTAATTAAGTTTAGCACTAAAGCACACAGAATCTTTTTCCTAAAATTTCTTTATATCTTGTGTTCAAGAAAGACAAAAATCATGATTTAAAAAAAAAAATCTGGTTTTTTGAATGTAAGCGAGATTTGCTTAATTTTATTACATTTACCAACCAAAACATCTGATAAGATATCGTATTAATACTTAAAATTCTTTTATAGCAATATCGTAGCTAAAATAGTTAAATTTTCTTATTGGAATGGTTAAAATTATTAAAAACTACTCAAATCATTGAATATAAAAAATTCCTAGTTGTGTTTTTCAAGCTTAACTTTTGCATGTTAAAAATTGGGTGACTGGCAGATATTTAATGAAGAATATTTATATATGAGTCAGAAAAAAAACTGGAAAAAAGTCATTTTAAGCTGTTCCAGTTATATACGAACTACATAATTGATACATTTTCAAAGCAATGATTTTAAATAAGCATAAAACTAAATGGATATAATTAAAATTGTCTTTTTGTGTGCAGTTTATTTTACATACATTTAATATGGAAAATTGAGTTTTAAAAGTTTCATGACATTCTTATCCACATTTAGTTTCATTTTTTAAAGTCTATTTATGAAATAACTTGCATGCATATCCCATTTATTATTTAAGTCTTTAAGAAGAAATTAAACTTTAAAAAAAAATCACACACCAAGTATTGCATTTTTTATTAAATTGAGTAAAAAAACCGTTTATATCTAAATTATTATTTAAAATAAATCAGATTATTTAACCTCATTTTTAAAAGAAAAATCAGTTTTTTAAATCAAGCCTTTTTTTAAAAATAAAATGATGAAAGGAGTATGTGTGTAAATATAAAAATTATAGATATATATCCTTATCATTATTTTTTAGTGAAATATCTTCAAAATCAGGCTTTTAAAATACCTTAATTCAAACAAAATACATTAATTCATACTTAATTTTTTTTTTAATAAACTTGTTTAAGCTATTGGATTGTACAAAAAATCAGCCATGTCAATTATTTGTTTGCAATTGTTTGTATTCTTCTGGTTGAAATAGGAATTGAGATTTAAATCATGTGTTTGATTATATATGTATCACCGTATTGGGAATCTGCTATTTCTTTTGTAAAGCATTAGGAGATTTGTTACTCTGACTTAAAAAATTTGATTTTAAAATGCACATAGTGGATTGTGAGAGGCTATGAAAGTACTTTACTATTTTACCCGGTTACAATAAAGTTCCCCTCTTATATGTACAGGATGTGTAGCATTTTAAAAAAGTGCTTAAAGGTGCTTATTTTTGATTTTCGTTTTTTAAAAGTCCTTAAAGGTGCTTTTTTCATTGGGTGTTCTTAAAAAGTGCTTCATTTTCCCTTTTCCAAATTGAGATTGTTTCTTTACGATGCTGATTTTTTCTACAAATTATGCAGAAAGACACTGTTCACATTGTTCTATTTAGCGTTTTCACAATCAATTCAACCCCAATCTATTTCGGCGCATTGTCAAACCGTTGCTTATAAAAACGCCATTCGATTTGCATAATTCAAAAATTTTGACAATTGTTGAAAACAATGCCAAAAGAATGTTTTTTTTTTGATATGACTGTTAAAACCAGATACCTTCAATTGTCAAAAAATTGATAAAACCGTCAATTGTCAAAAACTTTCCAACCCTACCTAGTTATGATATTCTTTTAAAGTGCTTAAAGATATTATTAGAGTGCTTGAAAAGTGCTAAAAATGTGCTTATTTTTTATTGAATAATTTGGCTACGCAACCTGATTTATATTCTGACAAAAAAAAAAAAAACAGAAAGTGACTTAAAAGTGAAATTTTATAGTATATTAAGATAGGAAGGATATTATGTACTATTCCAAGTAACATCCTTTTTCATTTGCTCCTTCCTATATCATTTTCTTAATTATTTAAATTTTGGGGTGCTCAACCTGCGGCCCGAGGGCCACTTGCAGCCCTCCAACTGTTGATATGCGGCCTGCAATAACTTCTAAAAACAATATATATATATATAATATACATATAATATACTTTTTGAAAAGTAAAAATTTGGAATCTTTTGAATTTCTCTTTACAAAATATTGAATCTTAATATACACTATGATAGTTAAGTTTTAATATTTGCTCAAACCCAATAAATTTTCTTTAAAATATTTAGTTCAAATTTATATTACTCATTAAAATAACTATGTATGTAGTTTGTTTTACACATTTATTCTATTAGCATTGTAGTTTATTTGTTAGATTTTATATCTTATCTCTTTTCCTCATATATATATATATATAAATAAATGCTTAAAATGCTAAGATATATNTGACTTAAAAAATTTGATTTTAAAATGCACATAGTGGATTGTGAGAGGCTATGAAAGTACTTTACTATTTTACCCGGGTAATCTTTTTTTCCGGATTCTTTAAAAAAAATTATCCTTTTTTTCTTCTCCAGTTTGTCATTTTTTTATTATTATTTTTCTCTCCCCCCCCCTTTTTTTTTTCATATGTCTGTAATTTTCCTTTGTTTTATCTTCATTTTGAACTCATCTAATGAGTTCTGTTTACTTGCAGCTTATGCGCAATAAATGAAACTTATTGTTTTTCTTAACTTTCTTCGTGTTTTTTTGTATTTATTTTGCTATATATATATATATATATATCGATTAATAAAAAAAAAGCAAGAAAAATAAAAAATATTTTTTTTATTGAGTGAATTTTAATAATTAAGGTATTTAATGTTAGGAAAATATGTTGGAAAATGTGTTTTTTGTTACTAAGTTTACTGATGAAAATATTTATTGTTCATAGCACCAATTTTGAGATGAAAATTATCATATTTGCCACCAACATAACTAAATATGCGTGCGGCCCTTCGTTAGTCAACCTGCTGTGGAAGTGGCCCTTCACTCAAAAAGGTTGTGCACCCTTAATTTAAATGATTTCTAGCAGGGTTTGTTGATTTAAATTTAATGATGTTTTTAAAAAAATCATTGATTTAAATCATCTGATTTTTTTATGCATATATTGATTTAAAAAGTTAAAAAACAATGTTTTAAATTATTGACACTATTATTATTTCTTTTCTTAGTCTTAAAATTTATCTTTAAAAAAATGCTTCATTAGTTTTAAAAACTTTTTATTGCTGCGTTAATTAATTTTTGCAAATGGAATTATTTTCTTTCTTGGCATGTGTTAAATTCCAACACATTTGAAATTATGTTTTTAAAAATCTTTTGATTCTTGAGATTGAAAGAACAGATTAAAGGAAACATTTAAGTATTTTTTTCTCATAATACGTTTGCAGTATCTATGACATTATCAGATTTTCTATAAATAAACTTTCTGAAAAAAAAATTTCAATGAGTACATAGATTTTTGTAAATAAATTTATTTAGCTTAACTTATCTATTTTGATAAAGGATTAAAAATGAATATTTTAATATAAAAATATATAGATTAAATATTTATTTATTTTTTGATGAAGGACTACATTTTGAAACACAATCTGTAACATTTATTTTGGTCATTTTAAAAATCAAGAGAAAAAAAGAAATCACAATTTTAAATTAAAATTATGGTTTGGTAATTGTAACTTTGTTTTAATAGTTAAAGTGTTCTTTAAATTCTCTATTTCATCTAGTCTTTAAATTTCAATAATGAATTTTTTGTCAGAATGGTTGCTATGCATTCGAACCTATGTATTATAATGAAAAACTGTTGTAGGTAGCTTCTAAAATATTGTCACATGGCCGAGAGGTTGGAGTCCTGGAAAGACAGATGCAATGTTCGATCCTCAGAACTCTAAAATAAGCTTTTATTTATGTTTCTTCTAGAATGTATCATTTCCTCTTCCTTTGTTATTCCTATAAAAGACTGGGTGTTTCAAGCCGAGACGCCAGTTGCATTGTTTCCTGTACTTTGAAGGTGTTAAATAAATCTCTTCAACTTTCTAGATTAATTCGTATTTATTCTATGTGACAATATTCTTATAATATAGTTTTAATATTAATTTCATTTTGATTAACATTTATAAAGCTTTTTTAGTCATAAATCAAAGTGTATTTGAATTTTTTTAAAAAAAATCTGATTTAAATCAAAAAAATATGAACCCTGATTTCTAGTCAGTTTATTATGGGTATATATATTATTTTGAAATCACTTTAAAAAAAAAAACATTATCATACAAAGATGTCATAATTTAACCTTTTTTATATTGTGGTTACAGGAATCCATGGGTGGTTTTAAATATGAGTGATAGTCACCATACCCTGGGCACTTCTCCTTCTCTCGGAGAAATAGAGCACATCACTCATCTTTCTGAACATGTCGGCTCTTTGTATTGCAATGACGACTACAGCGACATCACTTTAGTTATTGATGGCCAAAAAATTCCTAGTCATAAAGTGATTTTAGCTTCTAGGAGTGAATATTTCAGGTCAGTTTATTTTCTCATATTTCTATTTCCATTTTACTTTTAAAGTGGAAAACATCCTCTTTTTAAATTATCCTCATTTTATTCTCATTTTGACAGCTCATTGTACAACAAAATCTATGTATTTTTGACTGTAACCAAAAATGTAACACATTTTTTCAATGATTCATATTTAGACTTTTATACTCTTTATAGCTAAATGTCAAACCTAGGAATTTTTTAAATTTTAAAAATTGTAACGGAAGATCATTTTTTGACATGATTATCATAAAATTCCCTCTAGCAGTGAAAGGAAAACATATGGAAGGGGTTATAATTTGGCTTGTATTTCCATAAAGTTATTATATTAACCATAGAAATGTGGTTAAAAACCATAGAATTTCTTCAAAGAATTGGTGTTTTCTGATGATGTAAGTTTGCCGATTACAAGTTATCTCAAGCACAAATAATTTTAAAAATATTTACTGCACAAATAGATAAATATATTGTACATGCGTGTACACTTAACTATACTGTATGTTTATGTGTATATATTCACGACCGAGTACTGCATATGAATGCTTGCATGAATAAGTAAAAAGAGTAAAATGTTTACATACATTGTTATTACATAGTAAAATCGTACTTACGTACATTGTTTCTTCAAGTGTACGTACAATGTGTAAATTATGTGTGCATTCATACATAGGTAGTAAACACAATGTATGTTAGTATGCATGTATGATCAAGTACATACAATGTATGTAAGCAAGCATACGTATGTGTGTACAAGTGCACATACAGTGTACGTATGTACATAATATACGTAGACACATGAAATGCACATGTGTGTGTAAACATGTACGTACGTACAAAGGCATATATACAATATGTATGTTCACACAATGTACTTACTTATACATTATGTAATAGCAATGTATCTGGGTTAGTTAGCTCATACAATGCGTAAATAAATGAAATGAAAGAGTTGGGTGTCGATTACAGTAATAGATTACAGGCAATTACAGTTATATAAACAAATACTTGTAACCATGATTTATAAGTTACTATTTTCAATGTATGTATTCTGATGCACAGTGTAAATTTACGCAGTTATACACACACTGGGTATACATATCTTGCATTCGACATACAAACTTTGTACACATGTACCTACATGCATTTATTGTAATTATCTACATACGTATACATGCATGTTTTCTAATAGTGTTTTTGCTTCCATTTTATGATTTGCCAGAGCTTTGTTATTTGGAGGCCTGCGTGAATCTCAAGAAACTGAAGTAGAACTGAAAGGCACCTCACTCACTGCTTTCAAAGTTCTTCTGAAGTACATCTATACTGGTCATATGACATTAGCATCCCTCAAGGTTTTTATATTTTTAATAGTATGCATAATACAGGGTAACTCAAAATTAATATAGCTATTGAATGAAAAATAATTTATCTATAAGATTAACAGAGAATGTCGATGGAACTTCAACCTTTCTTTACCCAAGTGAAGCAGATTCCTTCACGAATTCATTAGTGAAAATGGCAAGTCCTGTGCGTTCTGTATGTTTTTTTGAAATTTTATAACCGTCGTTGACCAACTGACCCAATTTTATGGGTTTACGACTACTAATGTTCAACTCCGTGACCTTGTCATTTTGAACCCAATCCAGAACACAAGGAAAGTCCTTGGTTAAATATTGGTAGAAATTTGCCTTCATGGAGGACTTTTTGATGGAGCTAACCCGCTTTTGCGTTGCATGGAGAGGAAGACCACGAGAACCTCCCACGGTTAGCCTCACGGCAAGGAGACTAACCCATGATCCGTCTCCCACTGAGGATATTTCACGTCAGCACTGTGGTCGGTGAAAGCCAGATGCAGATTTCTATTGACTGGGATTCAAACCCGGTTCGTCTCATTGGAAGGTGGGCACTCTATCCCCTGTGCCCTCGGGGCTCCGTTCTGCTTGTTAGAATCTAACAATTGTCATTCTGTTATCACAGTGCACAGATTTCGTCAATTGAGAACGTTCATATAGGAACCGCATACGCAGATGGCATAAGATGTTTGAAGAAATGGGGTACTTGTGTCGGTGATAGCACAAATGTTTCAGAATGAAATGGACTACCGTCTCTAGACGTTGTCCGTGTGACCGAGGGAAGTCGAACATAATGCATGTGTACAAATTTTTGAAGTTCCTTCTACGTTCTGTGTAAATTTTATCGAAAAATTCTTTTTCGTTCAATAGTTATAGCTGTTTGTAATTGCAGTACTAATTTTGAATCACCCTGTATTAAAATGTAATTTTCTTTACTCTAATCGAGGCAACGGCGAATATCATTATGTTTATGTACATGTATTAAAAATGAAAATTATAATTATCATGTTTAAACTCATTTTAACTCGCAGCATCTGTAAATTATGCAGCAATTATCATGAAATTTATATTATTTCGTGAAATCTAGTGGATTTTTTCCTATCATGTTGGCAGCTATGTTATTGTTTTTTTTTATAAGAACTTTAGATAGTACTAAATATTATTTTAATGTGAAATAGGATTGAGGAAATAAGGAAAATGAAGCTTCTTAATTTAAAGTGCAATTGGGTGCCAAGTAATTTTTTGTGTTCTATTATGGCATATATAAGAAATTTATTTAAAAAGTCGTGTGATATTTATTTTAAACTTTCATTCACTGTGCCTACTTTGAAAGTTTTTCAATTGTGTGTTATTGTTTATATAAGTACCTAACCTAGAGTTTGATTTTCACAATTTTTATGAAATCAGGCATCATTTAGCATTGCAACATACTAATTTTGTGTTCCACTCATATCATGATTGCTAAATGACTGAGCCATGAAATTAGAATCTGATTTTAATGAACACTTAAAATATCATAACCAGTCAAAATACTGTGTTATAAATTGTTGGTAAAAAGTGTTAAGAACTCCTCTCTTAAGGAAGAGCAAATTCTGATTTTCAATGATATTTTTAATTGTGGAATATCATCTTGGAAGCTCAGTAGAGTTAATCCATTAAAAACAACTTCAAATACCTTCAGAAAGAAAAATATTTGATCAATAATCAAATACTGTGTTGTAAATTGTTGGTATGTTTAGTGTTAAGAACTCCCTCTCATAAGAAAGAGCAAATTCTGATTTTCAATGATATTTCTAATAGTGGAATATTATCTCGGAATCTCGATAGAGTTAATCCATTAAAAGCAACTTCAAATATTGTGTTGTAAATTGTTGATATGTTTAGTGTTAAGAACTCCCTCTCATAAGGAAGAGCAAATTCTGATTTTCAATGATTATTTCAAATGGTGGAATATCATCTTGGAAGCTCGGTAGAGTTAATCCATTAAAAACAACTTCAAATACCTTCAGAAAGAAAAATATTTCATCAATGATCATAATTGTTTTTATTTAGCTTTAATAGTGAAGTATAATCTGCTTGTAATTTTGCTTAATTTGAGAAAAGTAGAAAATGTGTAGTAAATTATTTAGATTTAAACAATTAAGTATCAGAAGACAAGGGTACAAGTGATCTTGAGTTAAAAATACTACATGATGAACGTTAGGAATTCTTCCTATCTCAATTTGGAATTTCCTAAAACCTTTTTAAAGTGATTTAAATACACTTTCCCAGATGCCATCCAAAGTTGGAGGTTCTAATCTATTCCTTCAATTGACAAAAAAATTTGAAACTTAGAAAGTTCTTTATTCTCGCTGCTTCAGATACCTCTTTCAGCCAAAAATCTCTGCACCAAGATCCTCTGATGTTAAATCAGTGACAATTTTGAAATGAACAACTTTTGTGACTTAGAATACAAAAAATGTTAAATGAGTGACAATTTTGAAATGAACAACTTTTGTGGCTTAGAATACAAAAATGCACACTTATATTTTGTGATAAATTCCCTTCTTTTAATGTTTATTTTAAACTAGGAAAGGGCCGCAGTTCAATAAAATGTCACCCGTTTTCTGGGTAGATTACCCATACATAGCTGCCAACTCTACTGGATTTTGGAAGTTTGTCCTGGTTTACTGGTTTAATAAAAAAAATCTACTGGTTTCTGTACATTTTTTAAAAAATTTCTGAAATTGAGGAAGTTTCCTAAAATAAATCCCTATTGAAATAGAACTTCTAGGTAGATTATTGCTTGAATGAATATTTAAATAAGTATTACTAATACATAATGAAGCGAGCCTCATTATTAAAAATCAATTTAAAACTTTTCCTTTGTTCTAAATATATCAGTTTATTCTTAACTCCCTTTTAAATTAATTTAAAATGTCTTTGAATTATCTTTGATGAATTAAATGCCTATTACTATTCAAATTTATGAGTAAACATTATATTTAAAGTTCATCTAATATCAGGTATTATTGAAAATATTTCAGTCTTTCTATTTCGATGACTATAACAGTCCCTTAAAATTCTCTATATTTTAAATATTTAGTTCATTAAACAACAATTATCATGAAATTTATATTTTGTAAAATCTACTGGATTTTTTCATATCCATGCTGACGCCTTTGTAACTTTAACTCATTAGAAATAAGACATAAATTCTTAATAAATAAAAATGCTTAAAAATATAATATATAAATGTGTGTTTGTATTAAAAAAAAATTTTTACCACAAAAAATATCATTATAAATTTGAAAAAGAATCACACCTAAAAGGTGCAAATTTTAAATCAACAATTGAATGAAACACATCATTTTTTTCTTGTCTTTTCATTAAGGGGCCTCGGGGCACTGTTAGAGTTGGTTAACTCCACTAACAACAGAAAGGCTCCTGTGTGTTTGCAAGCAGTGTGTCCCCTGATGAAGTACTGTTCTGCAAACACCCATTTATATATTATATTTCATTTTTAAATATTTTTAATCATTAAAAACCTATGTCTTATTTCTAGTTTTTATAATGCAAATTTGGTTTCAGCTGCCTTGTGCACTTTTCCAATTTCAGTGTGTTTATTTTTCCTCTTAGTTATCATTATTGACCTAGTAAATTGTATTGATTTTGTGATTGGATAACTTTAACTCATTTAATATTTTAATTATTCATTGCAATATCTTTTAACTTTTTATGCATTATTTATTTTCTAAAATCTACTGGATTTTCTCCTATCCATGTTGGCGGCTATGCCCATATAACTGTTAAACTCCTCTGCGTTTAACTTAAAAGCACTTTATACAATCATGCAGGACTTTAATACATGTTGCTGAACTGTCCAAAATCTTCGTCTTACTTAATGTAGCAAAGCAGTTGAACCTAAATGAAAGTGGCATTTATGATATTCTAAATTTAGTTTTGTAAAGTTCCCCGTAGCAGAATCGCAGCGACACAACGATATTGTTGCAGAATGTTGCAGAGTTCTTGCAGAAAGATTTTTCTTTTGAAAAGTAAAAAAAAAGCAACATTTATTTATTTTTTGACAGAAATTTACCTGTTATATTTGAATCATGCATTTAGATAATTACTTTTTGACACGCTCGATGTACGCCGATAGTATCGTAAATTGATGTAATGTTTTGATTGTATTCTCGGCAGTTATTGATATTGATTTTCATGTGGATTTTAAATATCCCGATAAACAATGTGGAAGATTTGAGTATTTACTTTTTATGTCCATAATTCTGTCGAATTTTATCAGTTATTGCTCTTAATTTCTCCATAGTTTTTAAAACCGATATATTTTTTTTACGATATTATTTTTATATGATAGCCTAATCAAGAAACGAAACACGCATTTGACGTGTCCGATTCACATGATTTTGTCGTCGATCTTTTTTTTTGCCAAGTACTACTACGGATTTAATNTTATGGCAATAATTCTGTCGAATTTTATCAGTTATTGCTCTTAATTTCTCCATAGTTTTTAAAACCGATATTTTTTTTACAATATTATTTTTATATGATAGCCTAATCAAGAAACGAAACACGCATTTGACGTGTCCGATTCGCATGATTTTGTCGTCGATCTTTTTTTTTCCAAGTACTACTACGGATTTAATGATTTTTAATTTCATTTTATATTGTGATGATTACTTAAAAAATTACCTATAATATTCTAATAAAAATTACATGTTCAATTAAGAAACAATTATATATAGTTTTTTTTTTTTTTTGGTAAACGCAACGCTTTTTTTATTTTGAATTAGTAGCATGCATGTTTATTATTATTAAAAGCATCATGCAGAAAGATATTAGTGCTAGAGAGTTTTGTCGCAAATAGCTCGAATAAATTCTGCCATAGGTGTTAAGTTATGGTTTTCAAGTAGAATAATTAGTAATTTATTGTTAAGACTTAGATTAGCATTCTTCATCTGAATAAGGATTTCATTATTTTATCTTACTTTTGTCAGGAATGTTTTTCTCACACTACTAAAAGTTCTTGTCTTTGAATTTCTTTTATTATAAATAAAATTCACTCTGGAGTTTTTCACATGAAATCTTTGAAAAGAAGTGACTTTAATTTGTGTTACTTTGTACCCAATTAATATTTAGCTTGAATTTTAAAAGAAATGTATTCAACAAAGAGTTTTTTTGTAGCAATTAAGAAACACGTCCTTAAAGATTCTGAAGACAAAGTAACATACCTTCCAAATCTCCTGTTTTTTAGCAAAGACTCCTGTATTTTTGAACTATCTCCTGTTTACCTGTATTATCTCAAATTTCTCTGTATTTGTTGAAGAAAAAATTTTTTTTCGATAAAATATCCGCTGATAGGAGAAATATTTCTCTTTCCTCAACAGATAGTGCTATTGTCAGTACTGCAGTATGTTGAAAACTCCCCGTGTAATAAATGGTAACTGATGCACATTAAATTCGTCGAGTCACAAAGTCCTCCATGTTCCCATAACAAATCATACCTCTGGGGGTACTGATCCAGGAGTTTCCTTGTCTTCGGGATTGGTTCAAAATTACAAGGCTACGGAGTTGAACATTAGTAGTTGTAAACCCAAAATTGGGTTGGTTGTTCAGCGACGATTATAAAATAAAATAGATTAAATAAATCTTAAGATTAATCTTAAATGAAGATTTATGTACATATTTTTTACTTCACTAACTGTAAGTGTTTATATTATTTCCAATTTTGAATTTCTCTTTTTGACTTACATGAATACATATTTTAAATTTTGTATTTTTTTCAAAATCATAAATACTAGGGGGCTCCGCCCCCCGTTCGCTACGCTCGCCATCCCCCAGAACTGCTTCGCAGTTCCATTGCATAATGCCTCGCAATCTTATAAAAACATTTTAACAAATTTAAATTTTAAAATAAAAATGCCAGATATTGAAATCAATTACTTAATGAAATTTATACACTTCTCTGCCCCCTTCACAATTTGATTATCTTTTCTTCATGTAGCTGAGATATTTGGAGCTGTAGCAGAGAATATATCTCAATAAGAAATGCTTTCCCGTTTAGAATTCCGCCATTCATTTCTCTGACGTCTGCCAGAGATATTTCGACGCCTGATAGCAGGCATTTTATTTAGGCAGCAGGCACTAAATAAATAAAAATAGAACTAAATAACTAAGATATCGTTTTAAATCTCAAATCAAAATAATTGTTTGTAGAAAGTTTGTTTTGGTTTGAATATTCGCACATTTGTTTTGGTTTGAATATTGGCACGATGCCATTGCCATTCTATTGTAACGAAACAAAAAATTTATCATGAAACTAAAAATTTATCAAAGGAACTAAAGATATTGAATTCTTTTTTTAAGAAATTCAGTTCCGTTTTTTTTTTTCACTCTTATTTTTGTTTATCAATCTATTAATTCAGAAATGCTTTAAATCAAACGATGCTTACGGAAACAATGCTTATGCGAACCACCCGAAAAATGATTTGCTGAATTCTCATTGGTTGAAACTAAATTATTAATTTTATTAATTAATTAAAGGAAATTTTCATAATTTAAGACCTTATTGCACATCTACATAACAATACCTTTAAAACGACACCTTATTTGTTTAATTCTGTTGCGTAGTTTGGGAGTTTTTAGCGAGACAAAATATTGCTAGCCTATTAATATATAGATTTAATAAACATACAATGAATATTAATCAACTAGCTTAAATAATTAAGTAATTTCAAGAGAGATCTGTGTACTGTAAGATTTCTATTTCAAAATTAGTGGCTTATATTTTCCTACATTATTTAGGTTTCATATTTTCTTCCGTAACACAGCAATTAAAATGCGTAATTGGTTACTAAATTTGCTGCTCATAAAATAGTCCTAACTTTTTTATGTGTATTTTTCCAATCGTTATTTTTCATTCATTTATTTTTTCTTCTTTTTTACTATCCCATACCTTCCAAGTCTTCTGTTTTTTAACAAAGACTCCTGTATTTTCGACTATCTGCTGTTTACCCATATATTCTCAAGTTTCTTTGTATTTGTTGAAGAAATTTTAAAAATATATATTTTTCAATAAGATATCCGCTGATGGCCAAAATGAAATTAAAAAATCTTTAATTTATATTTTTTTGCTTATTATTTAAAAATATAAGCGAAAAAAATCTTCTTTAGATGAAGATTTATGTACATATTTTTTACTTAGCATAATGTAAGTGCTTATATTATTTCCAATTTTAAATTTCTCTTTTTGACTTACATGATTATGCGTGATGTATCAAAACTTTACTCATAGCCTAAAAAATGTCGCTAGTAAAACCTCCGGGTTTTTTTTATATTTCTTCAATGTTGGCAGGTATGAAGTGAATATATTGTGTTTTATGTATTTCAGGAGGAAATGGTATTGGATATTTTAGGTTTAGCTCATCAATATGGTTTTGTTGAACTTGAGACAGCAATCTCTGATTATTTGAAGGCTATTCTGAATATACGCAACGTATGCATGATATACGACATGGCTAATTTGTTTCACTTGTCTTCCTTGGCCGAAGTGTGTTGTAGCTACGTGGATCGCAATGCACTCGACATAATACATCACGAGTCTTTTCTAGCACTCTCTGCCGTGAGTACAACACATATATTATTTAAATGTACAGTAAAACTGACCACTTGTGGTGCATTGTTTTAGTGGTCAACTTATAGAGGGGGTGGTTCATTGTTTACTTTTTCATTTCCTATATCATGTTGCTATAAATTTAATTAATTTTTTTTTTGCTTGACTTGAAAATTTTATTCAGAAAAAATGCAAATGAATATTTTAAGAAATGTGTTTAAACCTGAATGAACTTCAATTTGATACATATAATTCTAATATTTAACTATTTTTTTTTTAAATAAAACTATTTCCTTAGTTATGCATGTGAAGTGTTTAATAAATATAATTTCTTAAAATATCAGAACACGAAAACATGTAATTTGAAAACTTTAACAAAATAAAATTATTTGAACACTTTAAAATTTATTTACTACACTTAAAGATCAAAGACCATAAATAAAGGATCAAAGCATATTTCAGAGCATTCATTTATTCAAATGCTCACTATTGCAACTGGAAGAGCAACTTTTCAACTAACACACCTGTTTTCAATGAACGGATGAAAGAAATGGTCAAAAGCTGACCCCTTACAGTTTCCCCTGATGGCCAACTCACAAAAGGGTTTAGATTAGCTTTTTACACTATTTCACCAAACAAGTGAAATTTTAACATACATTGCCAAAATGACAGAAACTTTTCTGAATTTTTTTTTTCTGGTCAACTTATGAGGGTTTTAGAATAGAATTTCATAATACTCCTAGATAAAATTGACTTATTTCAGTGGTCAACATACAAGATAGACAGGTGGTCTAGTTACCTATATTATATAGGAAAAATTCCGTTCTTGATAATTGAGGTCAACTTATGCAGGTGCCCAACTTACAAGGGTGGTCAACTTGGCAGGTTTCTCTGTATTGCCTAATGAAAGTGTTTATAAAATATACAATGTGTTATAAGATATAAACCTTTAAATACAATTAAATAGCTACCAACTGTCCAGAATTTCTCGGATTTGTTCCAAATTTTTAAATCAAATCTGAAAATCTGATATTTGTATTAAAAAAAAAAATCAGAATTTTCGTAAAATTGCAATATTTTTGCTTTTAAACCAATCCCTTGTTCTGATCGCCGCAATCGTGATTATTGTGCAGAAGTAATTTTTAGTAGCGTTTTATTGGAAAATACTATTCCAATAGCTGTTGCTGATCATTTCACTAAATTGAATCTTAAACAACTATTATTATTTTTAAAAAAAATTTTTGTAGTATTTAAACATTTGCATCAGAAATATTTGTTTATGATGTAGTTTAATATTTACCTGTGTTTTATAATTTGGAGAATAATAATTATATATTAATAGGTAGTGGTTGTTTTTTTTAACTATTATACCAGTATTCCTAATTATAAAATATTAATATTATAAATTTCCCACAAACGATGGAGTTTATAATTTTTTTTACTAATTTACATAAGGTATTTAAATATATGTCTATTAATGTTATTATTTAATAATTAAATTTATGTCTTATTCTTGTAATTGGTGCGTATAATTTTGTCCCACATAGTGTTCCTAATTTTTTATTCCTAAGATTGACAGTTATGTAATTAAAACAGCTCAAAAAAACTCTTATGTCTTAAAAAAATTCACATGAAAACCATTGTGTACTCTAATTTATGAATGTTTTTTTTTTTTTAAAAAATACTTTTCTATCAGTGCTTTTGTGATGTACATAAGAAAGAATAATATAAAAAAATCTGGATTTATATTTTAACCACCTGTTTACAGGGGTCTGTCCAGACATTCTGTGAAAGCTCCGGTTTTTGTCAAATTGAGAAAAAATTACTCACATTCTTTCAACCAGGGTCCTGCTTTTATGATTTTGTGCAAATAGGGTCCGGTTATTGCAAAAAACTTTTTCAAGGAGTTTTTAAATTGTTAATAGATGCAAGATTATGCTCAGCACTGTAAAATTATAATAAAAGAAATTAAATTTTCAAAAATAAACAGCAATTGCTGCTTCTAAATTAGAGATGCAACATACAAATATTTGGCCTATACTGCTGAATGCAAAATATTCGTTTCGGACGAATAATGGAAGCATCGTTTGCCGAAGACAAAACTTAATTCGTTTACATCCATCTTTCTTGTTTTCTACCCAGGAAAAGTTTATTCAATTAACAAAACAATAATGAAGATAACAAATTTTTGAAGGGTCCGATTAAAAAAAAAATCATTTTGTGAATTGTCCTTTTTAAGTTAAAATATTTTGTGAAGGGTCCTTTTTAAGTTAAAATATTTTGTGAAGGATCCGTTTTTATGAAAAGATATTTTGTGAGGAACGGACTCAAATTTCTTCTAAACAGACCAACGGTTTAAGTTAACTACTCAAGTGGTCTATTTTCACAGGTTTCATTACAATGGCTTCCCCTTTGTTTTCATTTATGCTATATTTTTTATTATCCAATTACTATTGTGAATCTCTAGAAGACTCATATTCAGTTGAGATCATCTGAATTTTAAGTTTTCAAAGATAATTGATCTGGAATTATTATTAAATTAATTCCTTATTGAATTTTTTCGTTTCATTTGTATCTTTAAAATAGGCATTTAGTGGATATATTATTTTTAATAAAGACTTTGTTTCCTGAAGAAAAAAATTATTGAATTTCTAGATCCCAAAGACCTCGTACTTTCCAAAATCTAGCAGCTTCACTGTTTAATACTAAATTTCTGAATTTTTCAGACTGTATGGTATTGGTAAAATTAATGGTTGCTACCGGCCTCGAGGCAAGTAAATGTAAGAAATGGACCCGATCGCCACTTTTTCTAACAAAAATGCACCTCAGTTGCACTTTATTATTTTTTTAATAGCTATGGAATTATGAATATTTTATGATGTTACTAAAATGTATTTATTTAATGCTTATTTGAAGAAAAAATTTTTTAAAAGAAGCCTTGTATTCTTTAACATACTTTGAGAAATATTTCGAAAGAATTGAATGTCAACAGTATTTAAATCTTTTTTGAAAAAGTGGCCCTGTTATAAATGCTACATCTAGCCAGTAGCTCATAATTTTGCCCTATTATGGAGATTCTTCTTCTTCGTCAGCACTACAGCGCCTAGTGCAGGCCAAGGCTTTCGCAATTAGCTGCCTCCAGGCAGGGCGACTTTGAGCTAGATTTTTCCACCTGTTTACTCCCAACAATCCTTCTCAACACTGTCCAACCATCTTGTAGCTGGTCTCCTTCTTCTTCTACTTCCTTCAATTTTCGAAAAAGTAAGTTTTTTAACGAGGTCCAACTCTTCACACCAAAAAACGTGCCCTGGCCATCTAAACCTGTAGACCTTAATAACCCTCAAAATATTAGGTAATCTGTATTTATTGTATATCTCATGATTATGTAAACTTCTCTAAATATTATTTTCCTTAACTGCTCCAAAAATTGACCAATGGATCTTTCTTTCAAAAATGAGTAATCTATTTTCCTCTATTTTATTAATTACCCAGGTCTCGCTACCATATAGAATAATTGGTCTGATGAAGGTTTTATATAGATTTACTTTTGTACCAGTGGAGAGGAATTTCGTTTTTAATTGGTTCCTCAGACCAAAGTAGTACTTGCAGGGTTGCCACGGGAGACTAAATTGCAATTATTTTCGACCTGAGGCAACTATGGCAACTTTTTTTTCCTGAAAAGTCTAAATAAGCAACTATTTTCTAGAAAAGAAGAGTTTTCTGTGCTTCTAGTGATGTTTTTTTTTTAAAAAACATATACTGGGTTGACAACCTGCGGCCCTTGGTAGCTTCTGAACACAATTAATTCTTTTTCTTAAAAAATAAAAAAAAATTTGTGTTGCAAATATGAGTCATCACTTTTTAATGCTCTCAATTTGCGCAGATTTCATTGTGAATCTATTTTGTTTCTTAATCGCCTTTTCAACAGTTATCGCTCAAAATTCTGCATGATTTTAAAGAACCTAATTTTTAATATGATATTATGATGCGTGAATTTCGAATTTTAGTAATCACTTTTCAATTTATGTATATATATATTTGTTAAATCAATTATTGATAAAAGGAAAATTGTTTTCGAAAGAGTATGTTTTTTTTAACAAAAAATTATTTTTCTGAGTTAATTCTAGCATTTAAAAGTATTTAATTTTCTGCAAATATACTAATTTTTTTTTAATGAAAATTTGGCGCTAGAACACTAACCTTTATTTAAAAATTATCATATTGGCCATCAACTTGACTGAATGGATCATGGTATATGACAATTAAGTCATTAACAAAATTTTAGTCATATTTTTGATAAATTTGTTTTTATTTTGGCAACTATTTTCCTAGCTTTTGGCTACTATTTTCCTAGCTTTTGGCTACTATTTTCATGCTTTAGGCTACTAAAAGTAACTATTTTGTTCATTTTTCTTCTGTGGCGACCCTGTACATCTATCTAGTAGCTCATAATTTTGCCCTATTATGACGATTACCTACTAATTTCTCTGTTGAAGTGATTGCTTTGTACTATTAAAAATAAAAATTGTTTTTCTTTTTCAGTCTGCTTTGAAAGAAATGATCAGCAGAGATTCTTTCTGTGCATCAGAAGTGGATATATTCAGGGCTGTCTGCGAGTGGGCCACCCAAAACCCCGATGTCGATGCCAGGGAAATTCTGTCCGCAGTCAGGTTGCCTCTCATGGCTCTGCCAGAACTCCTGAACGTTGTCCGACCCACGGGTTTGATCAGCCCGGACACCATCTTGGATGCCATCAAAGCCAGGACAGAGAGCCGCGACACGGATTTGAAGTATCGAGGATATTTGAGTATGTCTTTCTTTGTTTATTGCTGGTGTTTTGTTAGAGATTTCCTTGTGGTTATCGACAATGTCAACCTTAATCTATGAAAAGGTACCTCTCCATGGAATCGTGTCTAATATACTAATGAATTAGAATTATATTTTTGTAGTGGTAGATACACTACAGTACTCCCCCACCAAAATTATATATGTGATAGAATTTGATGAATGGATACCACTTGTCGATTCATTGCTGCTTTGTGAGAAGCCGGGAGAGCTGTATTAAGATCACCGTACTTTTAAAGTACTGATTGTGAGAGCTGTATTAAGTTCACGGTGGCTCCTGTATTGCCTTTAGCAGTCGAGTGTATGAGTTGTGTGTGATCGAGACTGAGAAGAAAAAGCTTGAGGAGGACAATGTCGCAAGTAGCAAGTCAACTGTTCAATGTGGTCAAAGTAGCCATGTTCAAATCGAAGTGAGAGTTTCTGTCAAAGTAGGCGTGTTCACATCACGTCCGGGTCACCAATGTGGGGAGAGTTGTTATCGACAATGTCAACCTTCATCTATGAAAAGGTACCTCTCCTTAGAATCGAGTTAACATGTCTTATACACTAGTGAATTAGAATTATATATTTGTAGTGGTAGATGCACTACATCCTTTTCTTGCCACGGAATGTAAATGTATGGGACAAAATTAGGAAGTTTTGCTACACTGCATTTTTTTACTGTGGTCACTTTTTAAAACATGTAGCCACTTTATTGAAAATTTTAAACAATTTAAAAGAATCACTTTATTAATGATGCAAGACTTTTACTTTGAATCATCAAGTAACGTATTATTGGACGTATTTATTAACGTATTAGTGGACGTATTTATTTTACCATATTTGTCAAGATATGGTAAAATAAATACGTCCATTTCTAAAAGTAATTATTAAAAAAAATGTGAAATAATGTAATTTTCATAATGTTATAATGTATTCATAATAATTCTATATTTATTTGAAGAATGGTAATAATTATAAAATCCATGTGCAGGGGTCTGTCTAGGTTTTTTTGAGAGGTACCTATTTTGTGACAATTTAGACATAATTTGTGAAATTTAAAATTTATATTAAAAAATCAACACAAAAATATAGGAAAATATTTTCAATAATATTTAAATTTTTTTTGAAAATGTGTTAAACTACAGTTTTTCCTAAAATTGAATTTGTAAAAGTACCGTTTTTCTTAAAATTGAATTTGTGAAAGTACCGTTTTTCCTAAAATTAAATTTGTGAAAGTACCATTTTCCCTAAAGTTGATTTTGTGAAAGTACCGTTTAACGGCAGTAAATTTGCTTTGGACAGACCCCTGATATGGAAGGAAGTGGCAAGCAATTTTCAAATCACCATTTTTTATGTTTAGTCAATCTGTGGCAACAATTAATTTTGTTCCATACCTGCTACTCTTGTTAAATAAACTTTGAGGTCCCTGTTGAATGGTATTGTAAATTGTTTAACTTTTCTTATCTGATTCACAAGGATGTAAATTACATCAGTATTCTATGTGGTTAATTTATGTATGCTCTTTAATTTTATTTAATTGTCCATTGTGCGTAACGTTTTTAAAGAGTGCTTAAAGGTGCTTATTTTTGATTTTCGTTTTTTAAAAGCCTTTAAAGCTGCTTTCTTCACAGGGTGTTTTTAAAAGGGGCTGAATGTTCCCTTATCGAAAATAAGATTTGTTTCTTTACCGTGTCAATTTTTGCCACGTATCATGCAAAAGCGTGGTTCTTACATTGTTCTATACAACAATTTCACAATTCATTCGTCAACAATCAAATTCGGCTTACCCTCGGTCCGTAGTGTATGAAAGCTCCAATTATTTTGCAAGTTTAATGAAATACTTGTGAGTCCACGTGTGAGCTGGTTTCGGTGAGATTATTGCACTCTCATGTGAAACGCTTCTGCATTTTGCAATATATTCTCTATTTCAAGCTTCATTTTCGACCCTCTGAAATCGAACAGTAAAATCTCTTGATCATTTTTTAATGGCTAATATAATCAAGAAAAGAGTTTCTTATGAAAAATTTATCCTGATAGTGTAAAGACTCTAAAAATTATTTTGCATTTTGCTAATGTATATGGTGCTTGCACATATTTAAGAGTGCTTAAAAGGTGCTTATTTTTTGTTGAAAGATTTGGCTATGTGCCCTGTTGTCCTAATTCTTTCTGAAGCCTTTTTTTTAAACTGCGTCTTTTCAATCCATGTATACCTACCTAGATGTATTAGATAGAAACAACTTTAATACTAGGCTGCCTAAAGTTACTCATTTTGACTGCTTTTCCATTTGCAAAAAAAATTTACAAATAATTATGCATAAATTAATATTTTCTTTCCAAGTGAAGTAAACTTTTTTTATTGTTAATATTTACTAATAACTTATATAGTTGTAAATAATATACAAAATATTAAAAATTAATTAAACAAATTTCCTTAAACATTATTATATTCTTTAACAATGCAGTCATTTTGACTGCTTTTGGACAATATTCTAAGTTTCAGTCTTTCTAGTGTTAAATTGGTATTAACATTTTTATAGTGCTTATTTTACTCTAAGATAAAGCGTGAGCAACCTTTTTTCAAAAGAGGGCTGCAAAAAAATATTTTAACTTTTGATGGTTTAAAATAATTATACAGTGCAACCTCGAAAATCTGGACTGCTGGGGGGTTGGAAGGTCCGGATTTCAAATTTTAGAAACCTTACTTAAATTGATAGAATTATCGAAGTTTCGAATTCACTAGGCCGATTTCGCGATTAAATTCGCGTGTGTAGACCTCCGACGTCAATTTCAACAACTTAACATAAATATACACTTCAAATAATAAATATGAGACATTAAAAATCAAACTTTCGGCATTTTCCCCATGATCAATCGTTTAGATAACATAATATTACCAATTAAAACTTAAAATATAGGCTTAAAATGCGAGCTGAATTTCAACTAATAACTGAAACAGGCTTCTGAACTAGACTGCACCAGCTGATACTAATCCTTTTTTTGTTGGGGGAGGAAAGAACTTGTCCCCACCTTCTACACTTCAAGGTTAAGAAAGAACCATTCTTTCTTCACAAGGGAGAAAAACAAGGTGGTAGAAGAATTCCTCCTCCTTCTGGCCTTATCTATGGAAGAATATAGAGGGGAATCCCCTCTATATTCTTTGTTATCTACATGCAACTGATAAGAATGACTGGAGTTTCCTTATCAGCTATGAGCTTTCATTCACTCCCCACCCCTACCTCTTCATCTACTGCTTCATTGTTCGAGTAGAGTTGTGGTTTTGAACTCTTACTCTTACATTTTTATTTTAATCTATTATTATTTATTTGTTTTTTTGTTTTGTTTTGTTTTGAAAATTTTTTTCTGTCGAACTGGACGTAAGAGTCCGAGAGAGTTTTAGAGATTTCCTGATTTTAGAAGTTCGTATTTTCCAGGCCGTTCTGTATTATATATCCACATGGAATTAAGTATTATGTACACCTTAAAATTACTGTGATTTGAATACCATAAACGCTAATTGTATATATTTCTGTGTTATATTGTATTTACTAGTTTGGATCTACTGTTGTTTTCAAATAAAGTGTTTGTTTTTTTCCCTTGAAGTGCCTGAAGAGAATGTAGCCTCTCCGAAGCATGGTGCCCAGGTGTTGCAGGGTGAGCTGAGGAGTGCCCTCTTGGATGGTGACGTCCACACGTACGACATGGAGAGAGGTTTCACGAGGCACCCCATAGATGACAATAACGGTCAGGGTATCCTGGTGATGCTCGGAAGGCAGTGCATCATCAATCACATGAAGATGCTACTTTGGGACAGAGATCAGAGGTACTTCCTTCTTGTACTGTATATATATATATACAGTAGAGAACCGATTATCCGGAACGATCGGGACTATCGCTATTCCGGATAACTGATTTTTCCGGTTTTCTGAATCGCTACAAAAAGCCGTTTTTTTAGTGTTAAACTCAACAAAAAAAAAAATTGGAAATAATCTTAAAAATAAGAAAAAACGATGAGGTAATACACTAATGATNACATAGATGTATATATATATATATGTATATATATATATTTGTGTGTGTGTGTATATATATATATATATGTATATATATATAAAGAATAACGGGGCTACATCCCTGTTATCATTGTTGTATTCATCTTTAATAATTCAGTCGTAAACCATAATAAGTTCTCAAAAGGTTTATTTAAAGGTAGGTTGGTGGTTATAACAGTTCACATCCACACTCCACAAGGGAGGGAGAGTGGACAAAACTCCGGATGGTTCCGGCAAATCTTTTATGGAACACGTTAATCAGCAAGAGACGCATAAAAAACAATCGCTCCTGCATTAAATACAAACAGAGAATGATGTAAACAGGCTCAAGTCGTACATACCATTGTAACTCTACGCATCATCGATAATCATTTAATGCTTCCTAATATGGAAGTGAAAGAGGGACAAGATTCTAAAAATAACTCCTCCTTTGAAATATAAACCTAATTATAATTCAACGGTATGTTTTCAGCCTTGAAGTCCCAAAATAGAATTTCTACACCTATTCTTTACCAAAGACATTTTATGAAAACGAGAGAATTTTAATGTTGTTATTAATACAAAAGTATTTATAATTTTTGTATTACATATATATATGTGGTGTTTTGGAGAGGAACAACAGTTTTTTTCGATGATGGAAACATTTAATAACAAACTGAATTTTTACATGTATGATGAAATAAGGGAAATATGAAATGTTTTTGGAAAATATTATGTTGAAAAATGTGGGCCATCTGCCCCGATGATTTTAACAAGAAAATGGGCCGTCAGCCCCGTCTGGGCTATTGCAGTTGATTGTTCTGCAGCAAAATGAAGAGTGAGTCTCTGAGTTAAAAAAAGGAGAGGCGGTGGTGTGGGAAAGTGGTGATGATGGCGAGGCTAGGAAGTTGTGACGCTGGAATCATGGCGGCAGTGGAGGAGATGAAGGATAGAGTTCTTTTCTCATCCTCTACACACACACACATATATATATATATATATATATGCATGCATGTGTGTGCAATGAAGATTCTCTTTGAAAAGTTTCTTCAAATAAATTGCTATTGAATTTGATAGTTTATCAGAATAAAAAAAATATATAAATGTTAACTTAACTAAAACTAACATCCTAATATAGTTCATCTCCTGTGCAATATAGTTCACCTCCTGTGCAATATAGTTCACCTCATGTGCAATATAGTTCACCTCCTGTGCAATATAGTTCACCTCTTTTGCAATATAATTCACCTCTGTGTGCAGGGAATTCTTTTCACATCACTTAAAAGAGTTTCTTAATAGTGTTTCATTCTACAAATCATTTGTAATTTAATACTTAGTATTTAATTTAGAAGTATTCATAAAATTAGATTTTGTTATTTTTGCAGTAATTCTAAAATTTAGTCTTTTACAATACTTGTGTACATAAAATGTCAAATTGCGGTCAGTTCAATTTCTTAAGAAATATAATAAATTGGATTTTCATTTTTCTCTTGTTTAAATTAATGATAAAAATAAGCACCTTTCAAAAGTGCTTAAAGGGGCTTATTTTCGATTTTTATTATTTAAAAGCCCTTAAAAGTGTTTTTTCATGGGATGTTTTTAAAAAGTGCTCAATTTTCCCTTTTCGAAAATGATATTTTTTCTTTTCCATGTTGATCTTTGCTACATATTATGCAAAAGCGTGCTTTTCACATTGTTCTATTCAATGATTTCACAATTCATTCAACCACGACCTATTTACTGTCAGTCCATAGCGTATGAAAGTGCCAATCATTTTACATGTTTGATGAAATACTTGCGTGTCCATTTGTGCATATATACTGAGCTGGGTTCGGTGAGATTATTGCACTCTTATGTGCAACTCTGCTGCATTTTGCAAGATACTTTCTATTTCAGACTTCATTTTCCACCCTCTTATATTGAATCAAAAAAATCTCTGGATCATTTTATAATGGCTAATATAATCAAGAAAAGAGTTCTTTGTCAGAAACTAGATGAAAAGTCTTGGAAAATTATTTTGNTGCTTGAAAATATTTTTGAGTGCTTAAAAGGTGCTTATTTTTTGTTGAAAGATTTGGCTACTCACCCTGTAAATTAAACAGATTTTAACCAAAACTGTTTTAATATTTCTTACTCTGTGGAAGAAATAAATCTGTGCTTAATAATTTGATTTGTTCTTTTTTCCAATGGAAGGTCATACTCTTACTACGTAGAGGTGTCTGTAGATCAGAAAGACTGGGTAAAAGTTGTAAACCATACAAAATATCTGTGTCGTTCGTGGCAGCAACTCTACTTCAAACCTCGTGTAGTTAGGTAAGTATTATTTCTTTCTGTGTTATTTTTAGAACGAGTTTTAATTTAGATCTGCTTTACTGAAACTCAAAATAACTGTCACCATAGACGCTGTCTGGGGTAACCCAGGAGGGCGCGTGCCTCTTCAATAATTTTTTAAAACTTCAGATTTTTCACTTTTTAAAAAAAAAAACACCATAAAATTGTTTTTAATTTAGTATACAATTATTTTAGATAATTTATCATGGTGCATAGCGTTTTTAAAAAGTACTTAAAGGTGCTTATTTTTGATTTAGGTTTTTTAAAAACCCTTAATGGTGCTGTTTTTTATTCGGGGTTTGTAAAAAGTGCTTAATTTTCTACCTTTTAAAGATAACTTTTTTCTTCTTGAAAAAAACAGATTGCACTAAATGCATACAAGTGTAAAAGGCATATTATTGGAGTTAGTTATCACTGAATTGATTGCTCAGATAGTAAAAAATCACTAATTTAATCTATTAAAACACTAATTATCCATTTTTATTTTAAATGTCATTCATTTATGTTTTTCCACACTATAGCACTATTCTCAAAAGTTTTATGCTATAATTACCATTCATCTTTGCATACAGATACTTCAGATATCTCTAGTAGTTGAAGATTTGAGATTGGCCAATATGAGTCATTTCTCCATATTACAGATAAAATCACTATTGATCTCTCGTTATAATAATATAAGGCAAAATCATGTTTATTTTTGTCTTGGGATTATAGCGGAGACATGTAAAACCCTCACGGAGACTGCTATCTTGAGCTGTCCGTATGCCAGGGTTCCATTTACATCTATAAGATTCTTTCTAGTTTTGACAGAATTTCTGACTTTCTTAGCATTGGAAGAAAATTTTAGTTGGAAATACTGAGAGAAAAAAAGGAATGCCTTGTTTATTCTTTATTTTTTCTTAATATTTCTACATTATTTTGTAGTTTTAGTTTGTTATTTTATTATCTTTAATCATGATTTATTTATAAATCTTAACAGTTTGTTGGACTATCCATGTACACGTACGTGTAGTAAAAAATAAAAATTTAAAAAAACTTTAAACAAGTATGTAAATAATTTGATTATGTTTTTTTGCAAAATGGTTTCACATTCTTTTTTTATCTTCATGATTTAAGTTGGTTAGCATTTTCAGACTTTTTGCTCTTTTTCCACGCGCATGCCTTTGTGTGTTGTCGTAATTGAAAAATTTATTTTTAATCATAATTATACAATAAACAGTTGATATGTTACATTACTTCACATTTAGATGCGGAATTTCTGACTTTCTTAACATTAGAAGAAAATTTTAGTTTATCAATTCTTTATTTTTACTTAATATTTCTACATTATTTTGTTTTATCTTTAATCGGGATTTATTTATAAATCTTAACAGTTTGTTGGACTATCCATGTACACGTGTAGTAAAAAAAAATCCTTTAAACAAGTATGTAAATAATTTGATTATGTTTTTGTGCAAAATGGTTTCACATCCTTTTTTTATCTTCATGATTTGAGTTGGTTAGCATTTCCAGACTTTTTGCTCTTTAACCACACGCATGCCTTTAGCTGTTGTAATTGAAAAGGTTATTTTTAATCATAATTATACAATAAGCAGTTGATGTGCTACATTATTCCACATTTGGTCATCACACACTAAGAAAACTTCAACAGTAAATATTTTTTTATTCAACAGTAATTATTTTTCAATTATTTTTTTAGTTTGATAAAATGTAGTAAATGTTACTTAAAATATTATGTTTTATTTTGCTCAATAGTTTGACTTTTAAATCATATTGTAATATTTTAATAATTTTAGACTTTATAAAAAGAATGCTGAAACATAATAGCCCGCCTAGAATTCGTAGGTTCAAAAATTTCTTCAACTTTTTAAAAATTCTTTTTTTTTAACAGATATATTCGAATTGTTGGTACACATAATACCGTCAACAGGGTTTTCCACGTTGTGTCATTTGAGTGCATGTATACAAACAGGTTTTTCAGGCTGGAAAAAGATCTGATTTGTGAGTATCATCCCCTTATTATTTTATTTGTTCTTCATATTGTTATGACCTCATTGGGTATTTTTCAGGGTTCGCCAAGTAGGCCCACTTTGAAAAACCCGCCTTGAAAAAACCCACTTGGGTTTTTGCACAAATTGGTTTTTTAAAATTTGGTTGAAAAAGAAGCATCTCCTAAGTTTATGAGCACTAAATGAAAAAACCTAATTTTCCTCGAGTTTTTTCAAATAAAACCCAATTTCCTCAGGGTTTTTTCAATAAAACCTTTTTCAAAACTCCCCAGGTTTTTTCAAACCCTGGTAGTTTTAAATTAGACCTTTGAAGGAGTATTATTATAAACAATATGTATGTATGCATTGTCTTTGTGTGTTTATGCATGCACAGATATGCATAGCATATACTGGAAATTTCTTGTTTGGCTGTTTATAGGTAAAGGTGGCAAAAGGTAAATAGTATCCTACTCTTTTTACTAAACGATAACATATCAGACAACATACTGTTAAATTTTTCCATTTGACCATTTGTTAGAGCAGTGTTTCCCAAACTTATGACTTTTGTGTACCCTTTCTAAACTTTTCGTAATGCTGTGTACCACTCATAAAAAAATTACTGTATTTTTTACTATAAAAAATTGCAGGAAAGTTAAAAATCACAACTGGCAGTTGACACCACTAATTATTAACTGTTAACTCTGCAAAAAATAGCCCATGGAAAAATACGTAATCGTAAATTTTCATGGCTAGCTTTGTTTTTCAATCAAATTTTTTGAAATTTTCGTTTGTTGCAAGATATTTCGTGCAAGAGTGCGTACCCCCGCTAAACTGTTCCCGTACCCCTGGGGGTATGCATACCACACTTTGGGAAACACTGTGTTAGAGGATGGTAGGCTATTGTAGTACAAAGATCAACGTTGCAGAGTTTCAATAATTCTACCACGTTCGAGAGAAACACAGAAGGAAAGCATCCTAGTAGATAGATTCCTATTCTGTGAAAAGGTGGGTATTGACTTCTTTGTGGCATTCTTTAGAATGAGATCATCTAACACTCTTAACCAGTAGAATCTTTTCCTTATTTGCATTTTAGCAAATCCCAGATGACCTACTGTTGGTGCATCATGAAAATGTTGAAGAATTTATTGGCGTAATTGAAAGGGAATTGTCCCCCAGAATCATAATTCCACTTAAAAAGTATGCCATCTATCACTTTAAAGTGTGAAGACTTTCTTGGCCTCTATTCCTTTTCATTGCAGTTATTCTTCTTGCGAGATGACTGTTAAACTATTTTTCATAGCATTTTCAGTAGGTGGTAATGGGTGCCATTATAGACAGCATGCATGTCTGAAATGATTGTCTCTCTTTGTCGTGAGTTATAGTTTTGAAATGTCTGTCTTTCTCGACAGTGTTGATACACATGATCTGGAGGACCGCAGTGATAACACACTGGCCTCTTATTCTCTGTTTTCCATGTATCAATTTTGCAATTGAGGACGGCGCAGCTCATGAGTTTGCTTTTTAGAAGAAGCAACAGGAATTCTAGATGGCTGACGAGGTAGTGCCTCTGAGTAGGAAACCGGTATGGTTGAATTAAAACTATGGAAATCTTTGTTTCTGTTTAAGTTTGCTTTGATCATTGGTGCTATTGGTCAAAATTGTCTCTGAGTGTCCCAACGGGTACAGCATTTGGCAGTCTTTCAAACTTCCTTCAATTAGCACATTGCTGCCATGGATCCGCAGGTTGACAGCATTCGGTGAAAGCGGCAGCCGCTGTTACTTCTTTTATAAGTAGAACTTGATAGATATTTTCCTCAATGCCCTTTATAAGACGAGAAGCCTTATCTGTTTCACTCATGCTAGGGTTGACACTATGGCATGATCCCACTACTGCTTGTATGTATGAAAGGCTGGTCCAAATAAGTCCTGGGGCTGCCCTGGAGATAAAAGGTGATAGGAAACTGCAGACAGCTATCACAAGACTAATCAGTTTACTAACATTTGTTCAGGGTCAAAAGACTTTCCCTGTATGCCTAAAATGTAATGTGCACCAGGCTACATCTGATCATTTGCTGTCCTGTATGGGACTAGAGAAGAATTTTATCTTGGAGGTTTCGGCGATGGTATATGATTTTCTGTCGGTGAACGGTCTTCTGGACTTGGACTAGCCTTGTTCTGGGCCAAGTGGAATAAGTAACAACAAACAATGTGAAAGGCTGGTTTCTTCCTGTTATTGAGCTCTGGTCTTTCATTCTTTTGCAGCACAGTGTACTGACTGGAAGATGTCAGAAAATGTTTCTTCTAATTTAGTTCTAAAGGTTGTCCAAGAGGTTAATAGATTTCCATTATTCTCAAACCTGAGCTCGGCCCTTCCGCTAAGAAAGAAATAGGCATTTGGGAGGCACATTCCGTCGTACCAATTCTGATATTTGGCGACACGATCATATTGTTATAACCATGCTCCAGGATTTTGGTTGGTTTACAGGGAAAAAAAAAAGATGGATAACCGATGTGACAGACAATCAGAGTAGTGACAGGTGTTTGGACCCAAACCTCTTAAGCGGCGACTCTTAAGATCTGCTTCGAGTACTTATATATATATATATATATATACACTATTATATGTGTGTACATACATTGTAACCTATAAGACCACATTGTGTATCCCTTAATAAGCCTATGATTATTTTCTCTTGTGGGGTGCACTATTGCTTAGTAACCTCCACCAAATGTCACATAGAAATAGTTTCCAGATGATTAATTGCACTGATTTATTAAAAACATCTGATATACATAGAACAAGGTAACTGTATTTCCTCATGAAGCGCATAAATTTATGTGCAAATAAATAAAGAACAGGAAATGAGGTAATGGAAGTCTCTATAAGTTTCTGGAAAACATTCAAATAATAAATAAAGGCTTAAACAAAATATACATTTTCTTCCATCTGGAAGGGCAGAACCTCTGCTTTGTCAGGTCAATAACTTTCACTTCTCAACTACTCAGACATACATCAATATTTTATCAGATTAAAAGTATTTGCAGGAATTTTCATTTCAACTTGTTATTATGAATGCATTTTTTTTTCTTATACAGTTGAACCTTTTTATCTCGAACCTCTTTATCTCGAAAACCTCTATATCTTGAAATTTTTAAAATTCCCTACATTTACTGTCTAAAATAAATGTATTTTCCATGTTTATGTCGATTTTTTTTTCGGAACCTCCATTTCTCGAATTTCTAATGATAGAGCACAAATGTCAAAACTTTCCTTATCAGCAGAACTCTTAGACAGAGATGAATTTCGTGAATCCACAGGAAGTAAGGATGAACAGGTTGGGGGTGTTTCTTGGGATTCTTCCTTAACTAGAAAGGAATATACTGGCAGTAAGTGAGGGGTTAATGAGTAGAGCTTTTCAACATAGATAAGAATAGAAATTCATTTTCACCTCAAAATTGCAACCAATGGATCAAAGGATAATTAAGAGTTTTAAAGTGAACTATAGAAAATGATTCATGAGGAATTAGAAATCTTTCTAACCTCAAAAGAATAGTTGAAACAAATAAGGTTATCAGTCAAAAATCTTATTTATTATTTTCAGTGTTAAATGTATGTTAAAAAACTGTTATGTAAATAGATGTATGTGGTATAATTAATTTAAAGAAATGTCTATATTTTTCTACTAAAAACAAAGCACTTTAAATAGAATTTCTTAATTAAGTTTAATTTCTTTATAGCACCTGTATAACTCGAAACCTCTCTATCTCGAATTTTTCGCCTTTCCCGTGACATTCGAGATAAACAGGTTCGACTGTATATGTATATATTTGTGCAACATATGTATATATATTTTGTATTCCTGTAGATCCTACTCACAATGTGGCTACTGTGTCGGCAAGTGCTTGGGTAATTGAAGGTGTGAGTCGTAGCAGGAATGCACTCATAAACGGTGATACAGAAAATTATGATTGGGACTCTGGTTACACATGCCACCAACTGGGAAGTGGTGCTATTGTTGTTCAGCTGGCTCAGCCATACATCTTAGATTCTATGAGGTTTGTTTTTAATGAATGTAATTTTAGATGATGTATGGTTCAGCCATACATCTTAGATTCAATGAGGTTTGTTTTTAATGAATCTATTTCAATGAATGTAATTTTAAATCATGTATGGCTCAGCCAAGATTTAATGAGTTTTGTTTTTAATGAATTGAATGACTATTTCAAGGAATGTAATTTTAGAAACCCAACATATTATTTGGGTGAAGAAAGTGTTTAAAGATTTGAAGTTTTTACTCTTTCAACAAATAATTGAATTTGTAAAGTATTTAGTTATCAAAAACGTAGTTTAATGCCCTTTGTGAGGTACCTTGGGAATAATGTAAAAAAAAATTTAACAGGTGATCCTAGGTACGATCAAATAAGATCAAACTTGGTACAAATGTTAATTAGAGTAGATAACACTCTGGGGGCATACATACAAATGCAGCGATTAAACGGAAACTCTTCTGACCGAAAGAATTATCCTCTTACCAGAGGGATACAATAATAGCGAAGTTTAATTCCATAAATTGGTTTTAGAGTAATTGCAATAATTTAATAATCCGCAATAACTATTTACAATGATATTTATTTAATCCCTAAAAAATAGGTTTTATTTTTTAATAGAAAAAGAATTTATGAAAAAGCCTGATTATATAGATAGAAAATAACGTTTCAGGGGCATAAGTGAGTCCGCTTTGCAGAGAAGGTACATAATGGTTTATTCATGGGGAGTTAAAAATATGTTCGTTTTGTAGGAAAGTCCGTAAAGCTAATTCAGGTGTGGAGATTCCAGATTTAAAATTAGATATGCTCCTAAAGCTGCAGAGTTTTTGGTTAAAATGTAAAAGTTTAAAAAATTCATATATATCTAGGGGTTGCATAAATGTTATTATAAACTTTATGGGGAGTTAAAGAACATCATCAGAATTTAAATTACATAGGAACCCTGCTTGGAAATGTCATTGTGCCCAGCTAGGGCTTTTAGTTATTATAACCTGTGCTGAAAATATGTCACAACATTTATGTGACCCCCTGTTGTATATAATGTTTTTAAACTTGTATATTTTAACAAGAAATAAAACATCTTTTAAAAGAAACTGTAGCTTGGGGAGAGATAAAGAATGCTGAATTGAATCAGCAACGTGAAAATATCTGCTAAAGTCTCTTGCAACAAAAAATTTTTTTATGAATGTGTGTTTCTCAATGTCTGCACGTGGTGTATATGACCCAGTTTTCTCTGAAAGCATATTAAAAACTGTGAAGTACCCAATGTTTTTAAGTGGAAGGTCTTCTAATTCCCTTGATTTGATCATTGATTTATGCGAGAGGGCAGGGAAAATTAAATGGTAAAATTGACAGTTGCGACAAGGCGACTTACGATAAAAAATTGCAATTAGGAAATTGCTGACAATCGCCACTGTTTTCTCTGAACTCTAAAGTTTGCTTCATTTCATATTTATTTTTATATTAAATTATTACTATAATTTTGCTTTTTCAATATAGATTGTGCTCTATTAATTTTCAATTTTTAAGATATTATTTTTAATGAAAGAAAAATAAATTAATTTATTTTATACTGATTCAAAATTTCAGGGAACTAAATTTTATCCTGGGGGGTTTAATTCAAATCAAGTTAATTGCGTATTTTACTTTTTTATTAATTTATGAGCCAAGAAGCTAATTCAAATAATTAAATTAAAAGAACATAAGGGTATAACAAATAAAAAAAATTCAAAAGTTACGAATTATTTCGTAACATTATTACAGTTGGTTATTAAAACATCTTTCAATGCACATCAGACATAACCAATTTAAAAATTACTATCTGGTAGTGCTCTGTAATTCTAAACTCTTTCAATTATTACTTTATTTAACTAATTATAAATACTAAGCGGTGTTGGTGGTGGTCAAGCGTATTTAGAAAAATCAGTTGAGTACGTAAAAACTTAATTTTAACGTAGAAAAATAGATTTCGGTCGACTTTTTAAATTTTCCTGGTGATAAATTACTCAAATTATTGGTGTTTGCATGATAATCAATCTCTATTTGTAGAGGGGGGAAAAATCACACTTTTTACGCGAGAATATATTTATTTAAAGAAAATATAATTCAATGTTTGCGCTGTTTTTAAAAAAAAGTGCAATTTATAAAAAAATAAGATTCTTAAGGGCTCTTATGCGTAATGACAGTACTGAGTAAAGTTTAATTAATTAATATATGTTTGTATCCTCCATTAATTAACCATCAATCAAACTGTGCTTTTCCTGTCGTCAGGACATAAATCAACTCCACTCTTTTGAAATAGAACACCCTGTTTATATCATTTCCTAGTAGTTTTGCAAATTGTATCTTTTGACACTAAATTTGGGAAACTTTTTAAAATTAAAAATTAGAGAACTAGAAAATAATTGTCAATATTGACTAAAAGCTTTTCTTTTGAGAACTAAATTTATATGTGAGAATGCTACAATCATTTTTCATATCATAAATAATAGTCATCCATTGTAAAAAGATTAAAGCTGCATTCAGGAGTCCTCAGTACTGAAAGATTTTAAGCCTGAAATAAAAGAAAAGCTTATGAACAAGTTTTACACCACAAGCATAAAAACTTTTATTCCAGAATATGTACTGAAAGTCATTTAAACATTTTCCTCCATGTAGAACTCATATTGAAAATCATCATTTATTTTTTAATTGTGTAATTTGCTTAGAAGTTTATTCATCCCTTGTTAAACTTCATGACTCAAAAGAACACTAAAGTTGTCATTGTTTCTTATGTTGTAGGATGTTGTTGTGGGATTGTGATGATCGAAGTTACAGTTATTATATTGAAGTGTCCACTGACCAACAGAATTGGCACATGGTCATAGACAAAAGGAATGAAGCATGCAGGTAATCATTCATTTTTCATTCGTTTCAAGATTTTATGATTGTGTGTTACTCTTCTATATTATTTGAGGCTTTCATTTACAGTAGAAGATAACGCAATTCTATAAAACCACATCTACTTTACAATCTCTAAAGCAAAGAAAATTAATACATTTTTTGGATAACTTAAATTTTTTTTTCTGTAAATAATAAATACTTAATAGCATGCTTTAGTGCTTTAAAATTTTTATTTAAATATTATTTCAAACTATTAATATTCTATTAATTATACTATTAATAATCTGTAAAAGATATATATATTTTCATGTTCATAAGTGAAATAATCTATTCAAAGCAAAGCCTCACATACCATGGTTTGTGTTATAAAGATTTTCTACTATGGTTAGAAATGTATGCAATTAAAAGATATGACACTTTTATCACATAAAAACACACAAAAAACGGTGATTAATGCAAACAGTTTATTGACAAATTTCAAGTCAGGGAAAAATACTGCAAAATGAAAAAAAAAGATAAGTAAATAAATAATAATAGATAAATAAAAAATATTGAAATTTTAAAGGGGGACATATCACTACTTCAGCGCTCGGTGTGAGTCACTTTTCTCACTTAATATCACTATTTTAAAAAATAACTATTTTTGAGGCTTAGGCAATAATATAACTTTTTTTTTTCATTTGTGTTTCACAAGATTTTCCCCATTTCAATAAAAATAAAGATTTCACATTTCCCTCATTTAGCTTGTGATTGTACGGTCAATCTGTTCTAGCAAAGAAGTACTCGCCCAAATTTGTGGGATGTGTGGAAGATTGAATATGTGATGAAAAATGGCAAACTTCCACTTTCAAATGAATCTCTTGAAAAGCAAGAGAGCCAATCACTGTATCGAGAAAAGATTTTATTAATCATCTATTTTAACTTTCGTTTTCTTAGCTGCCAGGACGTGAAATTTTGTGTATTTCTCCTTGAATTAGTTTTTCTTTTTCTATGGAATTCATATGCATCTTAAAAGTGCTTATTACATCTTAACTTTGAATTATAAAAATTAATCACCCTTAAAAACTTATTTTAGGTTTAAAGTGCTTAAATGTCCTCCCTTTTTCTTTTTAAAAAAAAGCGTAATTTTTTTTTTACATATGTATTATGTTTATTTATTTATTTATTATTATTTTTCTTTCTAAAATTTTTTATTATCATTTAGAATTTTTTCAGCCCTTCTTTATGTGGTTTTTAAAATTATGCTGGTTTTTTTTATTTTTTTATCATGTTACGACACGTGAATTTCAAATTTTGGTTATTATTTTTTATATTTAAATCTGATTTTTTTTAAATTCAAATACACTGGAAGAACTTTGATTTATGACTAACAAAACTTTATAAATGTTTAATCAATATTAAATTAAAATTAAAACTATATTATAAGAATATTTTAGAAGCTCTAACAACAAAAAACAATTTTTCATTATAATACATAGCTTTGAATGAATAGCAACCATTTTGAAACAAATACATGATTGAAATTTAAAGACTAGATGAAATAAGGAATTTAAAGAATACTTTAACTATTAAAACAAAGTTTCCATTACCAAACAGTAAAATCTATTTTAAAATTGTGAATTCTTTTTTTCCCTCTTGATTTTTAAAAGGACAAAATAAATGTAACAGATTGTGTTTATGAATGTAGTCATTCATCAAAAAATAAATATTTATTCTATATATTTTTATGTTAAAATATTCATTTTTAATCCTATGTCAAAATAAGTTAAGCTAAAAAAATTTTTTTTTTAAATCTATGTACTTATTGAAATTTTTTTTCACAAAATTTCTTGATAGAAAATCTGAATTTGTCAAAGACTCTGTAATCATATTATGAGAAAAAAATACTTAAATGTTTACTTTAATCTGTACTTTCAATCTCAAGAGTCAAGAGTTTTAAAGATGTAATTTCGATTGTGTTAGAATTTAACACATACCAAGAAAGAAAGTAATTTCGTTAACTAAAATTAATTTATGCAGCAATAATAAGTTTTAAATTTAATGTAGCAATTTATTTAAATAAATTTTGAAATGATTTCAAATAAATTTTTATAAGAACATATATAATAAAAATATCAATAATTTAAACCACTGTTTTTTAACTTTTTAAATCTATATATATATATATATATATATAAAATGAGTTGATTTAAATCAACAAACTCTGCTAATGGTTAAATCAGATGTAAAAGAAAAGATAAATTGCTTAGAATTTGTAGTATGTCTACCACTACAAAAATACAATTCCAATTCACTAGTATCTAAGACATGTTAACTCGATTCTATGTTGGAGTACCTTTACATAGACGAAGGTTGACATTGTAGATAACTCTCCCCATAAATTCTTAGTACTTTAACAGACAAAGAGGTTGTATTGATATGCTTCAATGATGCTCTTTTTTTTCGTATACAAAGAAAGTATTTGTGTTATTTTCATGTTACTTGTCCAATTTTTCATATCAAAATACATACAGTATCCACTAAAACAGTATATCTTGAAGAAAAAAAAATTGGAACTGGTTTGGTGGTAATAGCATAGTTGCCAACTGTACTGGAGTTTCTCCTGGTTTTTCATATATTTTTGAAATTGAGAAAAAAATTGAGTACCTAAAGTTTCCTACAAAAAATCCCTTTTGAAATAAAATGTTTATTGTTTGCTTGAGTATTATAATAAGTATTCTTCTCTTCTCATTGGCACGACAGCTCAGGATGGGTCTTGGCCTTCTCAGCAAGCCTATGCCAAGACATTCTTCCCTTAGCCAAGGTTCTCCCGTTTATAATCCTTAAAACTTGTTGGTCCTTTTCAAGGCAGTCTAAATATCTTTGGTTTGGCCGTCCTCTTTTTCTTGTACCTCTTGGCCTGGCACTGAAAACCTTTTTGCTTGTCCTACTATCCTCCATTCTTATAATGTGGCCTGCCCATTTAATCCTTTGAATTTTGATAAATTTAATGACATCAGGTTCTTTATATGCTTTGTAAAGTTCTGTGTTTGATCTTCTAAACCAGGTACTGTTTTTACTTATTCCACCAAAAATGCTTCGCAGTATTTTTCTCTCTAATTTAGCTATCATATTTTCATCTCCACGGGTCATTGTCCAGGTCTCACATGCGTATGTAAGCTCTGATCATATAAGACATTTATAGAGTAACACTTTTGTTTTTCTTTTTATTAAGCTTAACTTAAGATATTTTCTTAGACCATAAAAACACTTATTGGCCATCGTGATTCTCGTGTGTATTTTTAAATAAGTATTTCTAATACATAATGAAGCGAACCTCATTTATAGAAATCAATTCAAAGCATTTTTTGTTATAAAATAAATGTAACAGTTCATTTTTATTCAGAACTCGTAACTGTAAAACTTAACTGTGAACTCTAACAATCCCTATGTGTGAAATAATTAGTTATATTCTGTAAAATCTACTTCCTATCCATGTTGGCAGCTATATAACAGCAATTAGTTTGTTATAATGCTGGCAAGATTTATATTGGACGAAAAAATTTTCGTACAATAGTTACTTACCACACCAATTTTGATTAGTTTGTAGTGAAAAGGTTAAGAAATTTTAGTTTTTTCCTTTGACAACATTTGTGTGATTTTAAATCTATAAATAGTTAGTGTTAAACCTTTTGTTTGTACAGATTACTTTATAGTTTTTGTTTATCTTAATTAAATTTTCTTTAATTATATAGTTTTTTCCAAGAAATGTAGATTTATTACAAAACTAAACACATGAAAATAAATTTTTAAAAAAAAGGAAATCCTAACTTAACAATGGTGTTAATCTCCACTATTTAAATGAGACCTTCCTATTAAAATAATCTCTTTTTTGCAGGGCGTGGCAACTCATTACCTTTCCTCAGAGAGCTGTTGTTTTTATTAGAATTGTTGGCACCCACAACACTGCAAACGAGGTGAGTTCATCTCTTATTGTTAATTACTCTTAAAAAATTTTACCAGCATTCTACAAAATTTTCAATATTTGGATATTCAATGCAATTAAAATAGATTTTTCATGTAACCCGCCTAAGCTGAATTGAATCGAGTTAATCGTAGACGAAATAATACTTGAGTCTATAGCCACACTGAGATAAAATAAAAACCTCTGCGAACACTTTCAATTAAAAAAAAAATTTCTTCAAGCAATAGATTAACTCTTGTAAATAGTTACAACCCTTTTTGTTGCCACCTCAATTTAGTGAAATTTTGTTTAAAAACCACAGATTTTTTAAAAATGTTTTAACTTTTCGAAACTATCTTCATACCATATCTATCGTACCACATACTATACTTCATACCATATCTCTGTCTATCATACTACAGGGGATAGTTAGGTAAAAAACCAAAAAAAGCTGAAAATAGAAATCCAAAAATTTTATGTGCAAAAATAGTTTTGAAATATTTGAAAAAAGAAAACTGATAATGTTAACAAGAAAAAAGAAGTATTTATTCAGTAATTATTCGGAATAAGTATTCACAGAATGTATCAACGTTTGAATAAAAATATCTATGCAAGATTTTTTTTATTTTTTATTAAAATGGTAAGAATATCAATCTTAGGATTTTAAAACTGTGTTACTGTAGAACCTCTATTAACCGAGCTTTGATTAACCGAGGTTTCTGTTAACCGAGGCAAAAACGAAGTGTAATTTTTTAAACTTTTTTTTCTTCACCTTTCCAAAATGAGCTTGGAATAAATTCTACACATTTTAGTTCGTTGTCCGTATTACAGACACTTCTTCCCCACAGAAGCACTCAATTTCCAAGAAATATTACACTGAGAAGACAACATTTACGAATGCTTTGTTAACAGTGGTCATGTGACCCTATTGAATACCAGATGATTTCCTTTTTAAATCTTTTTAGCTGCGAAACATAAGTTCATATATGTTTATTTTTATCATTTAAAAAACTTTCTATTGTTTTTTAGTTTTAAAGTAGTTAAATTCGCAAGCACGGAAGGTTTTTATACATGGTTTCTATTAACCGAGATTTCCAATATCCGAGGTACTAGTAGTCCCTATTACCTCGGATAATCGACGTCTTACTGTACAAATCTTAATGCTTGATTTTAAAATCGTGTTAATACAAAATTTAAGTCGCATGAACACGAATCATAATACACTAAAAAATCCAGGAAAGACCACCGCTATAGTGTAGTAACCTCCTCTATTTATGACCACTTTCGGGAGGCACAAAAATTTCTCCGTAGATTCTGCATTGAAGAAAACCTTTAGGAGAGACCATGAAAACCTTTCTCGGTGCTTAGACAAACTCCTGCATAAAATGCAGAGAAGGCCGAATAAGGAAGCATGAAAAATATCAAAACAAAACAAGTAATTAGATTCAAATCAGTGTTTTCACAACAGCACGAGAATCTCGCATATTTTCTTCTTTTCTCGCATTAAAGAATGGTTAACGTGAGAAATTCGCGCACTCTATTAATCAATTTCAAAATGCCGAATCTCACGAATTTTGGAAAAAATTTAGTCTTCTGCCATTTTGAATAAAATCCGTTTCACTTTTCTTTCATCTGATCTTTCATTATAGTTAAGAAAAGTTAAGATTTTCATTAAAAAAATATTTATTAAAATACTAATATAAAATCGAAATATAAAAATATCAAAAAAATCCTATGCTACTTTCTAAAGAATGTATTTTTGCGTAATTTAAATTAAAGAACAGCTTATTTCGTTGTATAGATCATGAGAAAAACGTTAGGNCTTTCAGAACACATTTCTCTACAACCACGTGTTCACCGTAGGTAAGGTTTCTTCATGTAAGATGTTTAAATTTTTTGTTTTTGTGCATGAATGTAAGATGGACAAATACCTTGTAACGGCAACATCTTCTACTCCTTAACGGACAAATGAAACTGAAACAAATGTTGTTAGAAAGAGTCAAAACAAAACAAATACGGATATTTTTCAGCTAAATAAAAAAATCAGTTGAGAAAAAAAAATGAGTCATTTATCATAAGTTATTTAGTGAGCTCTATTTTTAGCTGTTAATGAATTACCAAACTCCCTTATAGACAATTTACAGCAATTTGCAAAAGTTAAAGACTGTGAAAACTATGCTATACTGGAAGATATAGCATGAACTATGAACATGGAAATAACATCAACGAACTTCACTATTCTATAGCAGAAATAATTGAAAAACCTATGCTGGCAGATGTAGAGGATAGGTCAGCATCTGTTGCGAGGTCACTTAGCACCCAAAACCTATTAAAGACAAAATTTCGTAACAGATTGACTGATAGGCATTTGAGCAACCTAATGAGAATAGCTGATAAAAAAATATATGTAGAACATTTTCCATGTGATGATGCAGCAAAAATATTCAATGCTTAAAAAATAATATGTTAAAAATGCATTATAATTAAATAAATATTTTTTTTTCCAAGTCTATTCGTGTTTTTTTAATTTTTAGAAATCTCACTTAACTTTTTGAAATCTCACCCTGTTTTTGAGAAAGGGTGAGAAATTCTCTCCCATTTTTTTTTCTGTAATGAATACATTGCAAATGTATTCAAAATATTTTTGAGTGGCTCTTATTTAGAGAGCTACTTTTGGAGATATCTGCAAGAGATTGATAACCTCATGTTACAGTGTACTATTTAACTAGCATCTTAGAAAACTATAAGATCTTGAAGCAACCTTTTTTTTTCCCCCAATTTTAATGCATTACAAATATAAAAATAATCTATTTTAAATTGCTTTGTAAATTGAGAGCAATGGTGTAGTTATTAATCATTTCTCCCATTTTATATTTATCTGTTGGGTTTTTTATTAAATTTCATAACGACATTGTCTTTCTTTTTTTTATGCAGTCACATTTTTACACTGGTTTGGTTATTCACTTTGTTATGTATTTTTACTCATTAAAGAAATGTCTTCTTCCCAAGTTAAATATTTGACTAGAGGTGTTTTAAAAAGAACCAAAATATTCAATGCTATTGGTTTGCTCATTATCGCATTTCTGTTTTTGTCGGGAGAAAATGGTAACTTCGTTAAGTCATGAAAAGTTCTTGGAATTAGTCATGGAAAGTCATGAATTTAAAAATTAAAATGTAGCTGATACCCTGTATCTTATTCGATAATTATTTTCCATAATATTCGTAACTGGTATTTGTCATTAATGATCTCAGCATTATCGTTGTTAATAATTATTGTATATTTAACCATTATCCTACATTCAATAATAATCTTAAGGGGGGACCCCACACTGAGATGGTAAAATATGAACGTTTTTCTTGGATTTTTTTTAAGTAATAGAGACAATGCAGAGACTCCTTGTTTTTTTTTTAATATTATTTAGTTACAAGTTAAGTCTATTTTAAAAAATTTTCTTTTACAAAATAATAAAAAAAGAGTTGGTGGCAGTTCCCTGTGTGACTGGTCATCAAAAAGTAGCACCTCACTGGCCTCTGGGATTTAGAAGTCCTGAAACATAGGAAAAAGGATTTTGTTTAGATTTTCTGAAACATAAAGACTTTATCTAAAAAGTATCTTAGCGGTTTTTTGATATTCGCAAAATTAGCGAAATGGCGGCAACTTGAAAAAAAAGTTAAGATTTTCATTTAAAAAATATTTATTAAAATACTAATATAAAATCGAAATATAAAAATATCAAAAACTCGAAACTCGGTACAAAGACTCGAAAAATGCAATAAATTTTTTTCCGATTTTTTGAAATATTCAGGGTGGGGTCCCCCCCTTATGTTTGATGTTTACTGCAAAATAAAGTATTTGTGGGGACACATTTTGTATGTGGACACATTTGTTGTGGGAATTCATGTATTTAAAATGTTCATTAAACAGCTTTATAGAAAGCACCATTCATTGTAAAAGGAAGAACCTAGGAAGATGATATCTCTCTACTAGAAACCTTCCAGATTATATTTCACCTCAAATTTCAAAAAAGTAAAAATTAAAGATAAAAGAAAGAAAAAGACTTTTTTTTTTCATCTTCATATATGAAAAGTTGTTGGTAAAAAAAAAGACACTTAATGTTTATTTTTCTGGTTATTGTCTGCAAAATTCCTGTAATGAATTTCATTTGAAGAAACAGAACACCATAAATTACAATTGTGTTCTTTAACAGGGTTCCCACAGTCCTTAAAAACTATGTATGTACACATATATAACTTAAAAACTATATTATGATGTGTGAATTTTGAATTTGAGTAATCACCTATCACAATATGTGTATGCACAATACAGTGGAACCCGCTTAAAAAGTTCCCTTTTAAGAAGTTTTCCCGCGTAAGAAGTTATTTTTTAAAAAAACCAATTACCATAATGTTAAATTTACTTTTATAAGAAGTTTTTTTCCCGTTTAAGAAGTTTCCACTCCTAATTTCAATTTTTTAAAATTTTATTTAAAATGTCTTATTTAGTTTTAACTTGCCCTTACAAACACATGTATGGGTACTGACCACTGACCTTCATCACTCCTTTGTTACAAAGAAAGGTGACTTATCAGGAACAGGTGTGAGCAAAGGAATGTGAACCTTTAGATGAACTATGAAACTGATAAGAATGTAGGGAATAGCTTTGTCATTGTGTCCACCTTAAATGAATAGCCTGGTGACTCACGAACTTCACTGCTGTCCACACCCATTCAATAACTGAAGAGAAAGATACATCTAAACATTTAGCAGCANATTTACACTAGATTTTAAACAACTTTCCAATTATCCGAACTTTTCATTATCCGAACCATGTTCGGTCCCGGGCAGTTCAGATAATAGGCGCTCTACTATATATATATATATACATATATATATATATATTTGCTAAATTAATTATTGATAAAAGGAAAAAGTTCTTCGAATGAGTGTGTTTTTNTTAACGAAAAAGTTTTTTTTTAATGAATTAAAAGTATTTAATTTTCTGCAAATATACTAATTTTTTTATGTAAAAATTTAGTGCTAGAACTCTAACGTTTATATAAAAGTTATCATATTTGCTACCAACTTGACTAAATGGATCATGGTATATGACAATTAAGTAATTTAATACAATTTTAGTAATATGATTGAAAATTTTTGTTCTTCATAGTTTTTGGCTACTATTTTCACGCTTTAGACTACTAAAAGCAACTATTTTGTTCATTTTTTCTGTGGAAACCTTGCGTACGTTATCTGATGTGTATTGTTTTTGCAGGTCTTTCATTGTGTCCACTTCGAATGTCCGGCTCAAGTTCCTTCGTCTCCCAACTCTTCCAATAGTAGTCTCGCAGAAGCTGCAATGAACATAGAGGATCTATTAAAGAATGAGACTGTCTCACACATATGAAGTTATGTTACAAACAAAATGTTCTCCCAGGTTTTAAATGTTTAGAATATGATTTTTTTTATATTCCCAAAACTAGCATTTCGTTTAACAGCGTTTTTCACCTCAAAAAACCACAAACGTGCGCGACGAGAAATGTGAAAAAATAAATTATATCAATTTTATTTCTTCTTCGAAACAGTGAGACTGAGCCGATAAATCAAAATTTTAATTTTGATTAACTTTTATCGTCCTATTATTTTTGATTCAGTTTTAAATGGTAATTAAGTGGGCAATTCGAACTGATTCTTTTTTTAAAAAAGAGACTGCGTGGAAAATTCATCCTACCCCTATTTTTTTTTCTGACACTGGTTTGTTATGTCTAAGATTCATTTAACAAAAAAAGTCCCTTAAAAATGTGGTTTTTAAAAACTATTTTAAAGTCTGTTTATGAAGTGCTTTTTGCTTAATGAACATCGTTTCGATTTCATTTTTTAATCTATTTTACTGTCTCCTTTACTGCTGCAAACTTATATTTTTACCCCACAGCTTTGTAGTATAATGTACATTTGTTCAATAAATTGTCTTCTTTTTTTTTAAGCTTCTTGGTATATTTATCTCTTAGATTCATTTACACTGTATTGTGGGCCAGAAGACCATGATCTTTGGCCGAAAATCAAAAATTAAATTTTCAACTGAAATGTGCGTAGGCAGTTTTAATGTAGCCCAAATTAAGTATTCATAATCATTCCAAACATTATAATTTAATTTTTGGACCGACAAGAGTACAATCTAATGAAAAATATGTTTAAAAAAATTTTTTTTAATGTAGTTGTTAAATTTTTATTTCAGAAATATTTATAGGAATTTCACCTTACTGTTTACATTTTTATCAGAATAATTAGTCTGAAATTGTAGTACAATTTTTCAATGTGTTGGATTAGTCAATTCTCTTGACACACATATAGTTTATATCTTATCATTTGACATTTTACAATGTTTGACTGACTTTCGAAACTGAGTTCCAAAAAGTTCCAAGAGGTAATTAGGTAAACTTTTTTTTTGATGTTTCTTCTTTCGAAAAACCCTGCCCGTATTGAAAAGGTGGTCTAAATGTACAGAAAAACAAAACTTATGTTTTTTTTCTCATGTTTTCGCATTATTTTGTAATATTGCTTCGGAAATATAATATGCTTTTCATTTTTAATATAAAATGACAAAAATTATTATTTTTTTCATTGCTATATTTTATTATTTAAACGTACTCTATTATTTTTTTTATTTTTACTCGCCCTGTTTCAGCCGCCATTTTATGGGGGGGGGTATTTTTAGTGTATTTCAAAATGTCAACTATGAATTCAATTTACCTGCACATAAAAACCCCTAAATAAAACCCCCAAAATTTTGAAACTAATTTTATCGAAATACTAATTTTGGCCGCGAAACCTTGGATGCTGGCCCACTGTGCACTGCCCTGAAGCAGGAAACAAAAACGAAACAACGGTGAAAGTTTTTATGGCCCCACAATTATAATATATAAAAATGTCAAAGATAAAAGATTCTCAATTTTAAATTGTTGTCTTCATTGATTTTTCCATTTGCACGGCAGTTTAGATGTGTTGAAAACTTATCAATATTAGTCATTCTCATAAATATTTTTAAAAATAAAAAGATCTTTTTTTAATGAATAAAACAAGTATCCTTTGTGAATTAATATTGAATTAAATGAAATGATTTTTTTTTTTACTTCCTTTAATAAAAACAAGTAACTAGCAAGGATGAAACTGTGTCAAGAATTTACATGAAAATAAAATAAGAAAAGTGTTTTCCAAGATCAGCAAATAACCCCATCTATTGGGAATAAAAATAATTGTAAGCAGTTTAATATATATAGCATAATAAATAAATACAAAAAAACATGAAAATTAAGAAAAACAATAAGTTTTATTGATTGCGCATAAGCTGCAAGTAAATGGAACTCATAAAATAAGTTCAACATATAAAGAAAACGAAGGAAAAATTACAGAACAATGAAAGAAGGGGGAAAAATAAAGGAAAAATAATAATTAAAATAACAAGAAACCGGAAGAAAAAAAAATCTTAAAATAAGGACAAAAAAAATTTTAAACATCCGGAAAATAAAAGATATAATCTTTTCATCAGCCCACACGACTATATCCACAAAAAAGAGGATATAATCGTTTTTCCTTCTGGTTTCTTGTTTTTTTTTATTATTTTTATTTTATTTTTTCATTTTATTTTTTCCCCTTCTTTCATTGTTCTGTAATTTTTCCATTGTTTTCTCTACATTTTGAACTTATATATATATATAACAATCGCTGTTATGAAAAATCTCCGAATATTTTTATTTGCTTATAATATTACTTACACACCATTCTACAATAATGGAAGAAACACTTTCAGTTTTTTAAAAAAAAATTTAAAGAAATACTTGGATTATTTTTTAATTTATGAGATATTTAGGTCATACGATTTCGTCAAGAAAGTTCAAAGGTTTGAGAGATCGGCAAAAAAATTATGAAAAGTATTTTTGAAGAATGAGCTTGTATCGATTACTTTGGTTGTTAATTGCAATAATTACAGGACATTTAGTATACCTAGCTTAAATATTTATGGAGTATCTTATATATTTTATAAAACTAATGTTTTTATTTTATGTTTTTCTACCATAACTCTAAAGATATTTCATAAAATCAAGCGAAATATTTGGAGCAATTTAATTACAAAATTATCATTTTATGATTTTTGAAAGTTGCGCAAGATATGATTACATAAATTAGTTCTTTCACACAATGCATAGGCGAATAAAAATTCTAATTTTGTGGTGGATTGTATTTGGCAACTAAAGAAGAAAAAAAAATTGATTTGAATGTCTGGAAAATTTAAAAAGTTTCTAGCTATTTTCTAAGTCGTTTTGTATATTTTAAAAGAAAGTTCTAAATAATATAGGAGTTTACCACTCATTTTATTTTGTTTTCTATCATGAGACAAAATTTATTAATAAATTATAATACTTCACAATAATCATCCGTATCCCTGAATGTAATTGCGTAATTTTTATGAGGAGTTATTCCCCAGAATGTCATTTTTAATAAAACTTGTTGAATAGGTCGAATTAATTAAGTTTTTACAAAATGTCTATATCTCCATAAATATTAAAGCTAATTTTACTAAATTTTAAGCAATTATTGCAAATATCAACCAAAGTAATCCATAGAAATTACAAGTTTATTGCTGTATTTTCTGCCATAGGGTCTTCAAAAATACTTGTTTTTGTTTGTAATTTATTGTCGGTTCCTTTAAACCAAAAGTCTGAGAAATTTCATGACCTAAGCACCTCTAAATGTTATAACACTTAAAAAATTTTTGAGAATTTTTTTAAAAAATGTCAAAATTGTCTCTTCCATTGTTGTGGGGTTGTGTATACCATTGGTTTGTTCTCTTGTATCGCCAATTGTGTCAGAGTGTAATTTCTTTCTTTATTTAAATATCTAATTTAAAAACAGCTTTTTGGTAGATATGAATAAGGCTCATGAAATACGGTCTCTACTGGCAACAAATAGATTTTGAGTGTAGACTACATTTTTAGCTTTTCAATTATGAAATCTTATACTTTAATACTTAAGTGAAACAAATTGATACAAAAAGTTAACTTAAAAGATATATTTCGATATTTGTTTTGCTCTTTATCACCCCTGTTTTTAATAATCCTTGTAGAATAATCGTTTTTGACGCCCGGTGGCTGAGCGGTAGCGCTTCGCGATGTCGTGCCACAGGTTCCTGGTTCGATCCTCGGGCCGGGCAAGATTCACTCAGCCTTTCATCCCTTCAGTGGGTCGATAAATGAGTACCAAGCATGCTTGGGAACTAAACACTGCAGGTTCCGCGTTAGGCTGACCACCTGACCGGAACATCTGCTCCTGCACCCCAGAGCCCATGGTTAAGAAAACTGAGATGGGCACAGTAGGCCTTGGCCCTCTATGGGCTGTCGCGCCACTGAGTTTAGTTTAGAATAATCGTTTAATAATCCTTATCCACCTTTTTTTTCTTCTTAATTTCTATTTTAAATTTATTGTATTACCTTTCTTAGTCGCCTGGACAGGATTTTCCTCTTGGCGACGAATATATATTCTTTTTATTTATGTGTTTTTGTTCCCAATAAAGTTTTGTTTGTTGTTAAAAAAAAAATTAAAAAAACTTGGCCAGGCTGGGCAATCCCTCCAAGAGGTTTGAGCCCACCCGGAGGCACATAGAAACATTTCTTTCCCGTGTCCAAGAGTTCGTGGGTGCGATCCCCGCCGACCAAAGCCTGATGCACATTAAATCTGTCAAGTCACAAAGTCCTTCATGTTCCCATAACAAATCAAACCTCTGGGGGTACTGATGCAGGAGTTCCTTGTTTTCTGGATTGGTTCGAAATTACAAGGCTATATTTTGAATGTTATTAGTCGCTAACCCAAAATTGGGTCCGCTATTCAACGAAGGAAAAAGTAAAATAAAAAATCCCTCCTGGCCGGAATTGCCTGGTCAGTAGGGCGCTGGGCCCCTGTCCGAGAGTTCGTGAGTTCAATCCCCGCCTTCCGAAGACTCCCCGTGTAGTAAATGGTGACTGATGCACGTTAAATCTGTCGAGTCTCAAAAGTCCTCTATGTTTCCCATAACAAATCACAATCTCTGGGGGTACTGGATTGGAGATCGATCGTTCTCTCATCCAGGTCAAAATTACGATCTGTGGATGGATGTATGAATGGGTCAGCCCTATGAACGGGTGTGGCGGAAGTCGAATTCTTGGACATAGATGGCGCCACTAGAAAACAAGAACACCTCTGCCTAAGCATGCATACGTCAACAACAACAAAAATCCCTCCTAGAGAAGAGAGAAGGTATGGTACTAACATGAAATTTGATTCTTAAGTAGTCCAAACATATTGACATCTTTCATATTTTTCCTCCACTGCGCAATTTATGTTCGTTACGTCAGACTTCTAAATTGATCAGTGCTAAGACCTTCCAGGAGTTGTCGGACTGGACAGCTTGCCTTTGGTCACTTGCACCTCTTGCCACCAAGAAGAACTTCGTCTTCTTGCAATAAAAAGTTTTACTTTTTTCACATATTCACGATTCAAGTCAACATTCAAATGTTAAATGCACTCTACTTCCTTATTGAAAAAAAGAAAATGTGGTATCATAGCTTCATATTTTTAACGATTTACAGATGCGTGGGCATTTCAAATGTAAAACAATGTAAAATATTGCAACAAATACGCTTTTTTTTTTCTTAGAAAAATGAGGTGTCGTGGCTTTACATTTGCGGACAAACGATTATGAAAATTGCAAATGTGCCCTTTAAGATAAAACAACTTAAAATATTGCAATAAATACTCTATAATATACCCGAATTTATAATTAACTCTTACTTTATACCATAGAACAATCTAATTCTTAGTCACATGCATTCCGGAGACCACTGCGAGAAGGCAGCTCTCACGAGTCATGTCAATAATGTTAACTGCTATATCCTTCTATCCTTTTTATTTCTATTAAATTGTTATGTTTGTTAAATTATCGTCGTTATTTAC